GCCGTTTTGCTTGACACATCAGCTCTCTTATCGCAGACGACTGAACAGTCTTAGGGTCGTGCTACTGATAGAAAGGTCAAATAATATAAGTAATTATCACGTTCAGTTCGTTGCTCTAAGTTTTGTCCTACTTATTTGATGTATTTCTAAATTTAAAATTGAGCAAACGTTTCAAAAATATCAGATCATTTCTTTGTTTCATATCAAATATATAAAATTCTTAACAAAATTAAATTGAACTCAGCATTTTTCAGAACTCAATTCAATAATTGAAAAATGAAATTGTACCCATCAAATATTCATTTGGGCTTACATTCCTAAAGCAAACAAAATTGCGCAATGCATGAGAAAGTTGGAATATACTGATCCAAGCTGATATTAATATTCAAGCGCTTATGCCACGCTGAGAGCCAAGAGTTGACATTATCCCAGGCTCGATTACCCAGGCTCAGGCATGGGGCATCTTTTTCAAGCTGACTTCACACCAACTCGATCTGATGCTGCTCGCCTGTGTCATTGCAACTGTGAGTCTGGCAAAGTCATTCGAGCTTAAGCTAATTGGGCAACACAAAACACCTGAATTTATATTTAAGTCTCGGGCAGAGGCACGCATGATACTCGGTTAGTTCAGGATCAGGGTAAGGACAGGAAATTTAATATGCTGAGAAGATGCAGAGCAAGCGCCACACAAATCGCTGCACAACCCGTTAATGAGACGCAGCTGTCCGTTCACAGCTGGACCACACCCCTACCGCCCACACACATACACACATTAGTGTTTTTTTTTTGAGCCTGTTGGCCAGAACTGAAAATTTACAAGCTTTCGATCAGTTAATCAAAAGCAATCGCGGCGTTCACAACGTAGTCACATTCGGGACCGGAAAATGACGGGTGCAAGCTTCTAACAATTTTATAAACTTGATTAATATGTATATTATTTTTAATTAAGCTTCGAAGCAAAAATTAATTGCATATTTGAAGAGATGTGAAATTAATTAATGATTAGTGCATATAAGCGTGACTCCACCTCAAAAAAAAAAAAAGTAGCAGCAAATGTGAAATTAAATATCATTAAAATGGATAAAAAAAAAAATTAAATTATAAAGATAAATAAATATGTGTGGATCCTATGACAGCAGGCCATGCATTTTTCATCAACTGGCAATAGAACAAATAAATATAAAAAAAAAATAGAAATAAAAACCGAAGTTGAAAAATTGTTGTGATTTTGTGCAACTTAATAAATGTGTTAAATAGTGGTGTGAAAATGCATTAATCAGCCAACAATAATAAAAAAAATTATAAATTATAAAAAAGCGGGCAAATTTTTTTCTCTTTTTTTCCATTTTTACATATTTTTCAATTAATAATAACAAACTAGAGTTTGAGCTATGGGGGCAGGCCAAACCGCTAAATGTTAATTAGTTAAAAGCCCGAACTATGCATTAACCCTAACTTCAACCCACAAAACAAACATAAGCTCACACATAGACGCCACTGCATACATATACCTAAAGCATTCCCCAGTTTTTCAGATTTTTTACATTTTTGTTTGATTTTTTGTTAATTTGGGCTTAGGACTGGGCTTACATTATGTGTATTGCGTATAACTATATACATTTTAATATATGTATTCACATATATAACTCACTCACATATAAACCGTTTTATATAACACCCTGAAAGCCATTAAAAAAATGAAGATCTCATTTTAAATGCATGTCGTAATTTGTACGTAAATAATTATTTAGCTAACAAATAAAAAAAAAAGAACTGAATATAAAATGCTTGGATGAACATATATTTATATATATCCTTTGTCCCTCTACAAAATATATTCCAAATTTTTCGACACCATTCGTGTAACTTAATGCTATCAGAAAAATTCCTTCTTTGCCCTTTGATTTCCTTTAAAAAAAAATTAAATTACAATGTAACTCTCAAAGTATTCGTAAAAAAAATAGTTTTCAAGCTCATATTTCTTTTAGGAATATTATTTTCAAAAGCATTGTAAATTACCTTAGCAAATATTTGTATTTGTTTGCATGTTATACCAATAGATATAATAGACAAATTGAAATTAAAAGAAATCAAAAACAGTACTACGAGCAAAATCAGAAAATCTGTTCCCTAACTGCTCTTTGTACGAAAATGAAAATGAAAATAAATTGAGTAGTTGATTCAGAGACTAATTTCAAAAAATGACTGAAATTCGCAAAATAAAACCTTAGAAGAATAAAAAATATTTATATATCAGCTCGAAATGACAAATAAATATATAGTTAAAATAGTTGCGGACTTTTGCGATTGGAATTTCTAACCCACAAAAATTCCATTCAAGGTCAATGTCGCGAATGACAAACGAACTTGCAATTTCATCTAGGCGCCAAATAAACAAAGCTACTCGATTTTATATCAAAAATCAACATTCACATCCGCTGAAAAAAAAAGTGGAAATATGCAACAAATGAATGAATTATTCACGGCGTTTAGAAATAGAAAAGCTCCCAATCAAAACAAACAAACAAAAATGGAGCAATGCAAATAAAAACAATGAGGACTTTCACCTGACAAATACGCAGGATGTCTGCAGCTTGTCTGTGCTTCAATGACTTGCCATGCTACCCAAAAAAAAAAAAAAAAACTAAAAAAAATCGATATAAAAAATTTTCAACGCCCTATAAAAACATTGAATGTGGGAAACAATGGATAGCGGATTTTTTATACGAAAAATTCTAATCAAAGCGCTCAAAAACAACCAAAGAAAACTATGCACAGAAAATAGTCAAATTGAAAAAGCTAACTCCCGGCCACATAGCGAGGAAGCGCATAAAATCTGAAAAGTCAAATGCGTGCCGAAAAAAAATGTCTGCGACGGAAAAAAAATGGCCGACGTACAGCAAAACGGAGCACTTCAAAATGCAAAATAAAAAACGCGCAATCAAATTGCCGTTAGATTTAGGACAAATAAAATAATAAAACGCGAAAAAAAATAATAAATGGCGGGTGCAACGGGCCGAGACAAAAACGCTTTTGCGGTCTCGACTCTTAGATTTTGAAATTTTTTAAGCACAACACCTATAAAATTGGTTAAAAAGAGGAGGAATTTAAAAAAAAAAGAGTGTGCAACAGGCAGAAGATATCAACTCCGCTGCTATTAAGCAAACATATTTATCACAAACAGTCCAATTGTGGAACAAAAATATCAAAATAAAATAATATGTTGAACTGCACTTTGCAGCCATATATAAATAAAAATATCAACAAAAAAAATACCAATTATTGACCACATAATCTTAAATATACTGCGAAATCTGTTTTAAGAAATCAAAATTTTTTAAAACTTATAGTTTTCAAATATACAAATTTTCAGTTGCAGAGTAGAATCCCTTTAGAACTGAAATCTAATATATGTTTTTCGTAACAAAGACAACTTAAAAAAAATAAAAAAAATTGTTTTGTTTTTTAATTAATCACAAAAACATTTTTAATGCAAGCGATTTAAATTTAATCTTGATCATATTGCCACCAATTTTTAGCAGGGTTTTTTTCCTGAGTATATTTTTGCTAAAGCCTCATGACGAAAGTCTGCTATTCTTTATATTTATTTGCCCTACTTATTTATAATTCAGTTAAAAGACAAGCATTCGTATTGTGAAATTCCACCACTGAACATTTATTTAAAATAAAAATTGCAAATGAAAATTGTGTTTTTTTTTTTTTGTGAAATTGTGTGTATTTTTCACAGATAAACAAATAGTGTTTTAATCACTTTTTATAGACCGTTGCGCATATAACTCAGCTAAAGAAGACATAAGCTAAAATTTAAGAACAAAAAGTTTGTAACAACAAAAATTTTAATAAACAATACAAAATGGAGGGTCGTTTAATCGAGTACCGTCCAATTGGCGGTGGCCTCGATTACCATCACAATTCTCCGCTAATTGGTGAGATTCCGCCGGCTGGAGGAGACTACTCACACGCCGTGCATCGCTCCATTGATCATCTGCGTAACAGTTTGAATGAGCGCGTGGCACTCGGACCATTGAGTGTGTTTTCCAACACGCCGGATCTGCGCAGCTCAGTGCTCAGCTATAGCCAACATCCGCAACAGCAACCACAAGTACCGCATCAGCCTCACCACCAGCAGCAGCAGCAACAACAGCAGCAGCATCAATATCACTTGAGTGGCGGCGGAGAGGCACTGCATCAGCCAAAGCCAGCGCTAGAGAGCAGTTCCGCCTTGGCTATTGCAGATGGCGGCAGCAACAGTTCCAAGCATCAGGTTAATGAAGCTGTCGTGAGCAGTAGTAGCAGCAGCGCCAGTGGCTCCACAGCGCCCACGGGCTCCACACGTGGCCGGAAATCCCGCATCTATCCGAATCCAAATCAGCACATTGTAGTGACCAGCAACAGCGTGGATAACGGCGGCATACGTATGCAGAATGCAACGCTCAATGAGCGCAATCCTAATCCTAATCCAAATCCAAATTCAAATTCCAATCCGCTTCCAATTCCAAATCCAACTCCAGTTAGTGGCAGCGTTGCCAATGCCAATGGCATCTCATCTTCAACTAGTTCGCCACATCATATGACGCATGATGTGAAGGATACCAAGGTGAAGGTTTAAGGGAGTGCACAGTGCAAAAAGACCTCTGAAATTTGTTGGTCAAAATGTGGTCAATAATGACTACAATTTTTACTTGTAATGTTTCTAATCTTAAAATTCTCATTTAGATTTAAGATTTTAAAACGTAGGCAATTTTTATTATGTTATCCTTTTCATTGCCATTATATCAATGCATTTAAATTTTATTCTGACTAGGGATTTTTTTTAAGTAAGAAACTTTTAAAATTTATATTTTTTATCGAAGGAATTTTATGGGAAGAAGGATACCAGAGCGATATCTTGGACGTAGTGCAATGCAAAACAGTAGAAATTTTTTAATATCTTATAGACATGTACAGCTCTCGTTAATCGGTTACTATATCTAATGCAGATCTTCAGCTCGAAGGCGGACTTGCAGCTGCACACACAGATCCACATGCGCGAAGCGAAGCCCTATAAGTGCACACAATGCTCGAAGGCGTTTGCCAACTCATCGTATCTGTCGCAGCATACCCGCATCCATTTGGGCATTAAGCCGTATCGCTGCGAGATTTGCCAACGCAAGTTCACGCAGCTGTCGCACCTGCAGCAGCACATACGCACCCACACCGGCGACAAGCCATACAAGTGCCGTCATCCCGGCTGCCAGAAGGCCTTCTCCCAGCTCTCCAATCTGCAGTCGCATTCGCGCTGCCATCAAACGGACAAACCGTTCAAGTGCAACTCCTGCTACAAGTGTTTCTCCGATGAGCCCTCACTGCTGGAGCACATACCCAAGCACAAAGAATCGAAGCATCTGAAGACGCACATTTGTCAGTACTGTGGCAAATCGTACACCCAGGAGACCTACCTGACCAAGCACATGCAGAAGCATGCGGAGCGCACTGACAAACGGCCACCGATAGCGCCAGGCAGTGCAGCTGCTGTTGCTGCTGCCGCAGCCGCCGCCGCTGCTGCAGGCGGTCAGAGCAATAATGCGCCAGCAGCAACAGCAGCCAGCAACTCACAGCATCAGCGGAATAATTTGGTGTTGCCGCCCGTTTCAATAGCGCCCAGCGATAACAACTATTGGCCAAAAGTAAGTCCCGATTCAGCAGCGGCGTCCAATGCCATGGAAGTCATGCATCAGCAACAGCAGCAACAACAACAGCAGCAACAGCAGCAGCAGCAGCAGCAACAGCAGCAGCAGCAGCAACAACAACAACAGCAACAACAGCAACAGCAGCCGCACCACCATCACACGCAATTGGGCGTGCCACCGCAGCAACATGGCCCGCCGCAACAGCAACAACAGCCGCAACACCATCACCCACAGCAACACACAGCACAGCAACAGCAGCAGCAACAACCACCGCCCCAGCATGGCATGGAGGCCCACTACGTACAACCCACAGCACCTAATAGCAATCAGAGCAATGGCCATCCGTCAGAGCAACTGCATCATCGCATTATGCCCGAACCTGTGCGAGAGGATATTGGTAAGTTTGCACCTCCTACAACATTTGACAACTAATTAAAACAAAGATTTAAGGAGGGACTACACCACATTTATCACTTGACTTTCTAACAGACTTTGCCGCCCTAAACAAATATTTATGATTTTTATTATCAACTTATTGTATAATCTCCAGCTGTATGGTAAACTTAGAAATTCTGAGCATTATTTTCCGTTCGGAAAAATAGTTAAAATTCAAATCGTCAACAATCGTCAATTTTTGCCATACTCAATTTCAATAAACTTATTATTTTTAAGTGGAAAAGTATATTTAGTGTTAAAGGTTAAGTGACCAATAAAGAGAATCGTGAAGAAAGCAAACTACTTAAATATATATCTTTGTTTCGGATTAGTTGTCAACATGTGTTTATATGAAATTATGATTAGTATTGCTAATGTCATGTCTTATTGCAGTATCCACACCCAGCACTGTGGGGCCATATGATGCGGCTTCAATAGCGAAGAGCAGCAGCAACTCGGCCTTTACACCGATCAATTCGATGCCGCCGCATTTGAATTCACTGAGCCACCATCCGATGGCGCAGCGTCCCTATCTCTATGATGCCATCAGTTTCCCCAATAAGAACGTCAACCAGAATAATGCCAATGCATTTCCCAATCAGCTGATCTCGCTACATCAGATCCGTAACTATGCGCATCAGCCGGCGGGCCTGATGGCCGGTGAGCATCTGCTCGGCGTTAGTGTTGGGCCCGGCAAGGATAAAGGATAGCTAACACCGTACTTTTAAGTTGGCCACGCCCTACCCCCCGTTCTTTATTACCTACCTAAATGATATATATATGATAAACATATATGATATTGTGTTGACCGCCGATCTGTATGCAATACGAGCTGAGGTCCGTTTATTAGTTTCTATAAGAAGTCGCGTATCCTGTACAGTATTAATTCGTAGTTAGTCCTAGTACGTATTCTCTGCTCTATTTAAGTTACGTATACACACACACATACATGCACACACACACACTTAACTTATATATATATTATAACGCGTCAAGCAAATCTGTAAATTGCCAATTATACGTATAAATTATTCTAGTTTAACTACACCGTCCACTTAATTTTTATACTAAATTTCCGAAATGCAGCTTTTGATGGAACACTGGGACTGCATGGCAACTATTTTCGCTGAATTTATGTAGGTTGGTCAGCTGGAGCTACTTATGAAGCATAGGGACTTTTTTAGGACACTAAACTCTGATGTAAAGATATATTTATATTTTTTAGATATATATCACCCGGAACAATGACTGGATCATTGTCTCTTCAGTTTTACAAATGGATTTCCAATAACAACTTAAAAATGTTTGTTTGTTTACTTTTCTGAAGATTTTCGGCACCTTTTTTATTTGAAATACTATTGGATATCTCTATTAGCTTAATCAATCCATATAAATTACATTCCATTGAAAATATTCTCTATTGAGGTTTCTCATGCTCCTCTAGCCTGCTCCTGTTAGCTAGCAAAATTTGTCGACGTGTCAACTATATACAATTTTAACAACAGCAGCAAACTAACACCTTTCCAACGACCATTAATTTTAAACTGTTTGAATCCTCAGAACTCTCGAATTGCATATGTATATATTTATCCGGCACGTTCTTAAGATTAAGTTTAATTCAATGCGCAAAAACAGATCTCGCAGTAATATTTAAAATCAAACGACAGCTTTGAAATCAATGCTTATGTGAAATATACTCTATAAAGTATAAACGATATGTACATATACAACTACTAAAGTTAGAACTGCAAAAACATAAGTTATCCATTACGTATTTACGTGTATCGTATTCAATACAAAAATTTCTCAAAGAAATTTTCAAATGCAACAAAAAAAAAAAAATACAAAAATACAATAGATCATTACAAATTGCATGGGTTTACAAACTATGAATGAAACTATGAGATAAATAAAAAAAAAACTATTTTGAATTAGGCGTAGGAATGGAAAAATAATTCTTAATTTAAAATGTTGAAATAAATATTTTTGGTAAGACTGAAGTGATCAAAATTCAAAAATCAAGAGCAAAATTTGAATAAAAAATTAAATTTAAAGTTTTTACTAAAAATAACGTATAAGTTAAGTGAACTCCACTAATTGTGTCCTAAATTTCATACTAATGGTCAGTAATTAATTAATTATTCAACAAGTAGGACCGTATTAATCGTATTATATGACGAACTCGAAAAAAAATAAAGCAAAATATTTAAAATAAACATTAACATAGATAGAGTGTAATTCCGCTAATCTCAATGTGAAAAAGAAATACAAAAGTAAAAACTAAAAGCGAAATAGTAACTTAAATTCAAAAGGAAAAAAAATTAATACTAATCTTAAGCATAGCAAATGGAAGCAGGCTACAAGGAAAGTTGCGTCAAAGGTTTATGAATAAAATCAAATATGGTACTTTAAAAAAAATATAAGTAAATAAAAATAATTACATATATTATATACTTATGTAATTGCCAAGTAATAGAGGTGTGTGTGTGTTTGTGTTTTAGTTAATGTACATTTTTCATTTATTTTTAGCTCTTAAATCACATCATAATAAAGTGAATTCAATGTTCAAAGGTGCAGGTTTCTTTTTTCATGTTCCTTTATAGTTTTGATAAAACCATTAATATTATATTTCTTCGATTCGCTGACCACAATATATGTTAGGAAATATTGGTTGCCGTCATATTTTGTGAGACCTTCACCCAGCAGTTGTCTTACAGTCATCGAATCTTCAGCTTCGGCATCATTGGGAATCAAGCAAATGGGTCGGACTAGGGCACCAAATTTAAAAGGCTTTACCACGGTAAACAATGCTGCCTTATATGTCACTTTATTTACTTCACTGTAATGTAATTCAAATGATATGTAAATATTAGATTGAAAATGCAAGAAATCATTATGTCATGGAAGCAGTATGAAAATCAAATTTTAAGATGGGAGATACTCTTCATAAATATTCTAGTTTGTTAGTAAGTTTTGCTTTTGCAATATTTTAACTTGGTAATAAATTTGGCAGAATAATAGAAAACATATTGTTAAAAGTATTTTTCAAAAATTGACGAGGGGAAGAAGATGTGATAAAATTGAATTTTTCATGATTAAGTCTGCAACTCTATATATTACAAATACATACTGTGAGATAATACGTCTGTATACAACGTTGTGTAAAACATAGCCATGGTCCTCATCCTGATTGAAATTGACAGTGTGTTTGCCCTCCGCAATGATGTAGCTATATGCTTCATATTCAGACATATCTGTCGTAATTACCATATAAGGGGAGACAATAGTGCCCAAGCACTTGAAGTTATAGTCCCCTGCAGAGTTAGGTGTATGGTAGATGGTCACAGTCCAGGGAATATTATCGGGATGCTGTGGTGAGGTGATACCGCAAATGGGCTCGCAGATGGGATTTTGTTTCTCAATAGACCAAGTACCATTCTCACTACAGGTGTGCAGTCCTTTGGTGACGCCTGAGCTGTCTTTATAGCCGGACGCACAGGTTACATACAATTTTGTGTTCTCAATATGAGTATTTCCCTGGCAATCAACCAGACCGTCATCCAAAATACACTGAGTCGAGAACTTGACACGGCGTACATGTGAGCTCTGATCACACTGACGGAAACAACCGACCCACTGGTTGTGCCACTCACCATCATCGCATTTGTTGATAGCCTCACCAGAGTCATCGTAACCGTTGCCACAGGTCGCAGCCACAACGGTCTTATCGGGCACCTGACCTCCGGGCATAAAACTGGTTTCTTCGAAATAATCTATTATTTGCATCCCCGTCTTGATCGGCAGCTGGCAAGAGTTCGACTTCCACACTTTGTCATCAATTTCTACTCGCGTATTTATGCATATTTCAGGTAACTCATCGCTGCCATCACTACAGTCGATATTGTGATTGCAGAAATCATTGATATTGATACAAGCGCCGCTCTCACAGCGAAACGTTTTTTCTGGACAGATGCTGCCGCCGCACAGCTCTACAGATTCATCATCGCCTTCGGGACAGTTTGTTATACCATCACACACCGCACTCAACTTCAAGCAATGGTCAGCTGTATTTTTGCAGTGGAACTTAAATAGTTCGCCGCTATAAATATCAAATTATATAATAATTTATTTATAAGTAGCTAACCAAAACTCACGTGCAATTACCCCGCCACTTGGTTAGCAATTCCGCAAATTCTGTATCATTTGCACACATCAATTTAATCTCATCACTTTTATCCCAACAATCGGGAACGTGATTGCATTTCTTGGCAACATCCACACAGCCACCGTAGTTGCAACGAAACTGTGTCTCGTAATTGCAGATGTTATCATAGCAAGTACTAAATAGCTCATCGCTACCATCTGGGCAATTCCTCTCACCATTGCACTTCAATAAGCCGCTAATAAAGTCGCCATTATGACATGCGAAATTAACAGGAGTGTCAATATTCAGTAGTCCAGCTGAAACTGTGCAAAAACAGCAAGGCTTAATTTAGTCTTATACGAATTTATTCACAAAAAAAAATATATATATTTATATATATGTATAGTCTCGTTAGCGCATAATATAAGATTAATAAAAGTTGAAGAAAAATCATTCATATCAGCACTCGCGGCAAATGTTTCATTTATATACATAAAAAATCCATTTCTTACCTTGAATACAGAACGCCAATGCTGTCAAAATTAAAGCTGCTAGCATGATAAGGAATATACAAAATACACAAGTACTAAGTGAGTAGAGTCCGTTTTAAAGACTGCTCGCTTCAAGAGATAATTATAAAATGAAGACCTGTCTTCACATACGGGCAATGCTGTCATTTATTTTAATTTTTTAATACTGAGCGACAATTTGCGTAAATAATTTCAAGTGGCAAAATTGCACTCAGAGATTAATCTGATTTTTTTTGCACATTTTTTTCCCAAAATGAGTTCACAAAATTCAGAGAAGCAGTCAATGTATGTGGCAATGGATTGTTCAGATGAATAATGTTGGATTTCTGCAACTCTAATACTAGTTACAGGCTGAGGAGCATTATTGGCTCGTAAAACGGTTCCCCTTCCACCAAACTGATGAACAGCTCAATACTCCACTGGGGGTATAGTTTTTTTTTTTTTTTGTTTGAATATTTATGATTGCCACTGTGCGCTAAATCTGCTGTTTTGTTAGTGATGTTTAGATTTGTGTAGTGTTGTGTTATTGTTTGGTCGGCGGGCAAGTTTGACCCATCCCTAACTGAGCACTGGCTGGCCAGACCTGCTCCATTGAGATAATTCAATTCAATAATTAATTGACACATTATTATTGAAAATCGGATCAGAAATTCTCAGGTTATCAGCGCTCGTGTGAAAAACGAATGGTATGATTTCTGAGTATTCTACGAGTTATCTATGATTACGTGTACATATGTATGTAATTATACGCAGTTGTGTTCGGGAAGCTGTGTATAAAAATATGCGCTGCTTCAGCTTTTTTTCTGTTCAGTGCCTGTGTCTGCTATAAGAAATGAGGGTAACTCCGCGCATAACTTTTAAAGGGAAATTCGACAATAAAACTAGAATTTATTTAACAGCTGGGTTCAGGGTATACTTGTCTTAAACTGCAAAATTTTCTGTTGCCTCGACACAGTCGTCTTTGGCGGGTGAATGCATGCCAACTTGCCATTCCAATTTATTAGCCGCGTTCTTGCCACATATTTTCGCGAATATTCGTCAATGTTGCCAGAGTGTGTAAGCTCTCACTTTAAAGTGAGTTAACAGATAGAAAATATAATATTTTATATACTAAGCATTTCTGAACTGGTCTTTTGGGGCGAAAAATAAAATCAAATTTTAAAGCACATTTTTCGGATGAATAATAATGTGTAGTGCAAACTATTTCCATCAAGCCAAAAATCTTAACGCATACTTTTAGGTCGAAGAAAAGGTTCATTTAATTAATAAAATTAGTACAACGATGGTAAGGCATTGTGCGTTAAGATCACAAGGGCGAGCATCTAGAATGTCTTTGGATGTTCTTTGAATTCCTTGATAACCCCTGATAAAATGATAAAGTATAACTTGTCCGAATTGACAGTATTTTGAATGTCAATGATCTAAAAAATGCTAACAATATAATGCCCTACAAAATGTATTATCTGAAGTTCACCAATCCTTATACCAGCCCTGTATTCTGCATAATTCTCTAATGATTGTGAAAGGTTCTTTTTTTTTAAATTCGTACTCAGAATGCGTATTAAATCTAATTAAAAAACGTTTGTTATTATTTTATATAATATGTTTTTATTACTGAAATTAACCTTTCAATTTTTCTTATCATTTCTATTACATATGTATATGTAGAATTATACATTTCACGGTGTATTTATGCATGTATAAGTTAATATATATATATATATATATATATACACGTATATATATTTATTTATTTGCTTGACGTATGTACCTTTATATACTTATATGTACATATATGTATAAATATGTCTATGTATATGAAAATCTGCTTGTTTTTACTTATTGTATGCACTTTAGACGAATTGAAATTTGATTGTGGACACAAATTTAAAGATTTTTTTTTTTTTTGGCTATGATTATATTTATAGTTTGCATTTTGTGCTCGCGTCTAATGTTTTTTTTTTTTAGTTTCTTCTTTGCTTTTTATTTTTAAGTTGCCTTTCTGTCAACATTTTTATGGAGTATACGTCTGATAAATATGCATTACATTTCAGATTTAGCAGCTAAATAATTCAACTGTTCAATTGTTGTGTGTTTTGCGCTGTAAGCTTTGCTTAGTTATGATTGGAAATATTTTAGAAGTACGCTTAGTAAGTGCCATTAGATTTTAATAATGCTTTTGGGTTCTGCTTTCATTTTGAGCTATGCACTTTATGCATCTCGTATCTTGAATCTCGTAACTCTACATTATATATTTAATTGTTAATTGTGGTTTCTACATACATATGTCTTTGGTTTTGTATTTATCTCCTATAAGTACTATTCTATTGTGTTGTTTAGTTCTTGGGTTTTGACTTGTTTCGTTCTTTTGTGTGTGATTTTGTAGCTTTTTGGTGCCTAAGCAATTTGCTGCGTGTTCTCTCAAGTTTTTTTATTCGATTTATTTTGACTTGGTTTTGTATTTTATTTTAATAAGTACGTTTTTATGTATATGAAGTGATGAGCTGTTAGCGTTAATCTCACTTCTGACACAATTTAATAAATTTTGTAAAGCACTACTCAATTTTAATTTGGTTTTGTCGTTTATGTATTTTATTGGTGTTTTAAACTTTGCATGATACAAATTATAAAAAATGAATGCATATACTGTAAAGCTTATTTAATATAATAGAAATACATACATATTAAACAAATATCAAATGTATTTATGGTGGGCAGAGTTATAATCAATGGACTACAAATAATTTGTATTTCAGGTAATACGTCATTTTATAGTGCAAAGAAAATTTTGTGTAAGCTAAATGAGACATTTAATTGATATAATTTAAAAGATAAATCTTTTTTATACAACAGGAAATTAAAGGATTTTTAATAAGAATATTTACCTGTTTTAGCGTTAATTATAAATGTATGTCACATTTTTTAATTAAATATCTTACATTTATACGCATTGTTACATACTAAACATTTTCTAATACATTTAATTTAGATAATTTTATTTTTTGGTAAATATAAATTTTCGCTTTAATTTTCCAATGTGTTTTTGCTGCACATCATACAAAAGAATATTTGAGCTTAACAAAATATAATAATAAAAATTAAATTATAAAAAATTCATTTTCTTGGTGTTTGAAATAAATTTCCTTTGTATCCACAATATACATATAAAATATTTTAATAATAATTTAATACCTCATACATTTTCAACTTAAGCAAACTTAACAAAAATATTGGTTTGCGTTTGTTGTTATTGTTTTTGGGTTTGCGGCGCCAGCGCTGGCTCACTGCCCCAAATTTTGATAAAGTTAATCCGCTTACTCATTCAGCTTGTGCCATTCAGCAATTTGGCGACGAGGCGAATTGCAAACCTCGTTCCAGTGATTCAATGCGGTGCTACTCGAGTTGGGTCCACCAAGCTCCAAGCGTCCAATAACCTAAAGAAACACAAGGAAAACTTTTGTTGAGCACCTAATAATTGAATGCAAGACATGAATCAAACCTCATTCTTGGTCACGCGATCCCAGTCAAGTAGCATCAGCTCCAAAGAGACGCCCTCCAAGGAAGCTCCAGCACCCTGAAATATATGTGTGGTTAAGGATATGTGTACAAGTTAAGGTTACAAAGAAAAGTATCTTCAAATAAATATTGGTTTATTTATAATATCTTATACGTAAATTGCTTCAGATAAAAATTAATACGAGAAATAAATAATCCATTCGGTTTACTCATAAATTCTCATAATGACAATGAAGAATATTGGAATTTATTTAAAGTAATGTGATAATATATATATTTTAATTTAAAACAAAAAATTTTAATATACAAATTAATTTTGGCATTGTCGATAAATGGGATTGGTATTGAGCTCGTGATCTAAATTTAAAAAACAAAATTGCTAAGTATTGTTAGAATTGTACGTACCTCGGCAGCGGGTATATCAAATGCGAAGCTCTCATTAAATACCGGACTCAGCGTGCGCTTCTTGACATGCGTCTTTTTCTTGGCAATGCGCTGGCCATTGTACAGCAAATAGATTTTGACATAGGGATCAGCCAGTCCGGTAACATCCATGCGCGGCAAATTGCGCGCCTTTAACAAAACGACAGTCAATCGTCCAGCGGCCGGCTGCCAGCATAGCGAGATGAGCAGCTCACCACGACCTTGGGCGCGTATCTTCAGGCTGCGTGGCTGTATCTCCTTGCTGATCGAGAGCGCCTCCTTTGATATGTCACCAATCTCAATGGAGGTCAAGGGGCAGACAACCTCACCAATGACATCGTCGCGCGAATATCGATCAAAACTGAGTATAACAAAGTGCAAGCTCATATTCTGCAGATCATTTATACTTAAGCCATAGAAGGTAAAGTCTTCATCGTAAACGGGATTCCTGGTATTGCGCACCACACGTGTCTTCACCTTGTGCTGCTTGTCCGGCAGCAGCTGTAGCTTTACGTAGGGATCGGTGGCCGCCTGAGTGCGTCCATTCATGCCAGTGGGTATATCGCCAGTGCCGCCAGCACCACCCTTGCAGGGTAGGCCACGGCAGCGTATTATCGATACCATTAGAGCATTTCTCTCAGACAGATAGCGCAGCTTGAAGTAAATGGTGCCCAATTTGCCGTATTGATCGCTTATGGTCATCTCCTTGCCATTCGAGAGTGTCTCGTCCAGTGTGATGGTCACATTGCCATTGGCAATGGTCTCCACCGGTGAGTGATGTTGATTATGGTTCTTGGCATTGTCCACAACGTTTAGCTTATTGGAGCTCTGATGGTGCTGCTGCTGCTGTGCCATCTGCTGTGGCGGTGACTCATCATCCTCGGCATACTTCGTATTCTGTGGTGCTATCGGCGATGTCGTCTGATCCTGCATGGGCGAGAGCAAGCTCATCTGCTTGCCTCCAGTGGGCGACGGCGATTTCTTCAGATAGTGAGGCGGTTGGCCACTCGGCGAACGAACTGCGGTCGGACGTCGTGTCGGTTGGAATGGGAATGATGAATCATGATGATTCTGCTTCTTGTTCCGTATGCGCATCTGCTTCGCACAGATGCAGGCCACCGTCGAAAGTACTGCGGCCGCAGTGAGACCCAGTATGGCGGGCACAACTGCAGCAAATGCAAAAATATATATTTTTTAATATAAAAAAAAAAGGAAAACAAATTATAATTTTAATGCTCTTGCATGCGTATAGACTTTAATATTTCTATTACTTCAAAGCTATATCATATTAGTTGCTACTGAAAAATGTAAAATTACAATTTAAATTATCTGCTATTGCGCTGGGATCGTTGAAAAGACTACTACCTCAAATGCGTAATATTTTGGTCACAATACAAAAGAAGTTGTTTATAAAAGAATTTTAGAACGATAGTTCTTTCATAAAAGTTAGATAATATTGCATTTAATCTCACATATAAATATCTGTATCGAAATGAATTAATTAATTAAGATAAAAGAGAATACACAATAAGAAAAAAAGAATACCATGACACATTCATTGTTTTCCTAATAAGCTATCTATTACTCAAGAGAGTCTTAAATGTGTACTTTAATCTGTTACGTATTTCATTACCACATTTCAATAACACCTAATGGGCCTACTGATTAGTTTCTGTTAGTTTCGCAAAAACTGCTAAAGATGAAGTTCTACGGCAACTTCCTACCGTTTTCCTAATGAGCCATCATTAGTTTTGGCCACAATATGGTACTCACTTGTGTCCATCATGCTGACATCTGGCATATACTCGTCAGCCATTTTAAACGGTTGTGGCTAGTGCCGCTCTGCGCGTTGTCTTGTCTGCTTTGAAGATTCGCGTAGCTGCACAGAATAACAATTAGATACAACGACTACAAGAAGAAAATCAAGAAGTCACAAAGTAAAACAAAGAGTTATGTGAAGAAAATGGAAAAAGAAAATATTTGGCTTGTCTTGTCACATCGATTTTACCACAAATCTGTGCTTGATTCTTTTTCTTCTTTTGCCAGCTTCTGCTGCTGCTACTTGGGTTTTCACTTTTTTTTTTCGCACACTCTTGTTGTTATTTGTCATTACTTGAGCTGTACATACACTCACTCACTCACACACACACACACAGCCATGAAACCTGTACGCATACTTATGTATGTCTAATTCGAATGATTCATCAACCCACCCTTAACATAGCAACTTTTTCGTTTTTTTTTTTCATGTTAAATAAGATATTTTTACTATGCTTTTACTTAGACACAAAAATAACAACCATTCATTGTGTTCAATTATTATATGATGTTTCATTTTTAGCACTGTTTATAATTTTCTTTGTCTTAATGCAAATTTTCTTATATTTTGCTGCAGCTGGCTTCATTTCAAGTTCTTTTTGCATTTTAAAAACTGGTTAAAGGCATTTATAATTAAGATATTCTTACTGTTATAACACTCACTTGTCTAGAAATTCCCTTTTCTATATTTTAGCAAATATTTGCTAGACTTTATACGTTAAAATTGTACAACGCAGTTCCGCTGCACTTTATTTTGCCTTTCAAGTGTCTTGAGCCAACTCGTTGTCCACCGACAAATCGTTAATCCTGCGCCGACGCACTGTGCACAATCGACGCTTTCTGTGTGGGCTTCTCAGCGAGTGTTTTTGTACTCGCTTATTTGCCTGCCAGGCAATCTGTCTGCAAGCGGTGGTTGAAGAAGCCTTGTGACGTATATCGGTTACAATATACATATATGCTGCCGGCGGGTGTGAGATGCAAGTAGATGTGGAATGTGTCTAATTTTATATTGCATGCTACGCATCATTAGCACTACTAGGAGAGTATGTAAAGCACTTTCCAATGAGTCATCCTAATTGGTAATTGGGGTTTGGTCTTAACTAGAAGCATGCGACAAAGATTGAACTGCTGTCTAACATTTTTACTGATCAAATAAACATATCAATGATTCCAAGCAAAATGTAAAACATTACATTGCCAATTATAGATTAAGCTTAATTAAATATTTATTTTCTTACAAAAAAAAAAGTAATTAAATTTTCATAGTTAAAACTTTAATAAAAGAAAACTATGAGTTTTAAGTCAGTAATGGCGAGGAAGAGGTAACCAATTTAAACTTGCCGGCACTCAAAGAGTCGGAGAGCGGTAAGCGAGCTTTAAGCTCCAACTGGAACCAGTGGCTCTCTAACTAACTCAGTGGCGAACCGAACGACAGCTTAAGCTTCGTGCTGGTTTTGGGGGGAGTTTAAAAAGAGCCGCGCTTAACAGAAAGACGGTGAGTCGATGACGGTCTGCGATTGCGCGCAGTTCGAAACAAGCTGCAGAGATCTTAGCCAGACCTAAACTGTAATCTGGCCAGTGAGCTGCCCGTATAAGCAAAAGAAGGCAATACCAAGTACTGTGCGTGTGTGTGCAACTGTGTGTGCTAACCCTAAAACAAAAATAATAAGAAAAAGTATAAAAAAAAGTACGAATAACATTTAAGAAATTTTTCTTGTCAAATTATTGTGGACATCTTCGGCCAGTTGCGTAATTGACAAACAAGGCATTACCAATAAGGAGCGGCATACAAAGAAAACTAAAACTAAAAGCCTAATTATTTAGTGGCAACCAAAAAGGAAACTGGCAGCAACCTGACACGGGCATACAAAACGTAAGTAACTTACATTTTTTTTATTGTCAATAGTTTTGGCATTTGAGGAAGCGTCAATTCCAACTCCAAAACGAAACGTCACATCAAAGTAAGCTTCGATTTTGTTGTGTATTTGCACCTTTTGCAGTTACATTCTAAAAAAAAACACTACGTTTTTTTTTTATTGACACAATTCTCGAGAAATATGTGTGTGCATGTCTCACGATTTTTGAGGCATGTTTCTAATTTTAGTTCGAACGGTTTGCCCATTGTACTGGTTTTTCTTTTATTTATATGAGCACTAATCGGTTCAATTTTTCTACGCTAGCGAATTTGCTGCGAACACTAAAAAAAAAAACTGTCTCATTCTTGCATTTAGGTGTTGCGCTGTAACAGTTAATAACGCGATTATTACAGTAATAGGAAATTAGCCCGGTTTTTTATATTTTTTTTATTTGTTTTTGTTGCCAACGGAAGCTTGAGGCATTGTAAGCAACTTCATAGCTCTTTATTTAGTGTGAGTAAAATTGTACCTCAAGATCTGCAATCGATTTGAATGCATGTGAATATCCGCTTATAACTCCATTTTGCATGTAAGCAAAAATGAAGTACGGCTGCGCTAGTTGAGAGTTTTTGACTGGATAATACGCTGTACACATAGAGAGTATCCTTGCCATACTCTACATAATCTGTATACAATTATTAGGTAGAATAAGCAAGAGGTACAAAATGTTGTTTCTTCAAATTCTTGATTAAGATACGCATTTCATGTTCGTATATGTCAACTCTTATCTGTTAGATTCAATCCCATTACTCTTGTTAATCCATTTTTTTTATAAATTGCCTAGCACGTAGTGCGTTCGATAGAATAATCTCAGTACCAAATCATATAAACAATTTTGCATACTAATTCATCAATTCTTACTCATCGCTTTTCGAATAATACAGAATGCCCAACAAAAATGCGTGATTAAAAAATAAATAAAATAAAAAATATCGAAAACATTGGCAAAATTTATGACATTGCCTTAACTTATTAAGCCAAAAGTTGAAAAGCAAATATTGTATACACAATATATTACTACTGCATATCAAGTTTTTTGCTTTTATTGCGAGAGAGCGAACTTGAAGTGCAAAGAGTGTAGCGTGAAGCGATGATCAATCACAATTTGGTTATTGAGGGCAACCAGTGGTTAAAAACAATTGCCAATATACATATTTGATGTATGCTCATTATCGAGAGCATCTCGAACATGTGCCTGCTGCGGGCAATGAAAAGAAATTTTAAGCTACGCATTGAATAGGCGAGTGCTTTGACCGCCAGACACCCACGATCGAGGTCCGCTTTCTTTTGTGCCGTCTTGAAAGATTTGGCATGTAGTTAAACCAAAAATGTATTTGCCAACGCACACGAGTCACAGTTGGAGTTTAAATTGGAGCTGGAGTCATGTTGAAATGTCAGCTAAAGACACAATTTGTATCTCTCCATGTTTTTTGGGACAATGCTGTACAGCTACCTCCCATTGCTGCTTTTGTTGTTGTTATTGTTGTTACTATTTTTATAGGATTTTTGGTGTCTATTGTTACTGCTCTTGAACGGCAACGATTGACTTTTTGCTGTTAGCTGTTTGTTTATCTGCCTTGTTGCTGTTACTATTGTTGGCTCCCTTTTTTTTTTGGCTGGTACTCATTCATGCATTCACGTACGATCTGTGATCTGTGTGCCTTTTACTTGGCTCCTTTTGTGCTGCCGTTTTTGTTGCTGTTATTTCATTTGCCTTTTGCCATTTAAGCGATCTTCGGTTTGAGCTCTATTTGCTTACAATTCATTATGAATTTATTTTAGTTCAGAAGTGGCACACTTTTAAGCCACAGCCCGTGACAATACTAAAAAAAAAATACTAACTGGGTCACATAAGACGGGCAATTGGTTGAAGTCTTTTATCGACTTGGTGTTGGCATTTAAGAATGCTATAACATTTGTTGATTAGCATATCATTTCATGCATATTCACTTTTTAGAAAGTTGAAAGGCTTAAGCTAAAGGCTTAATTTGCTAGTCATTCATTCTGAATTGTTTTCAATACCAAATATTTAATAGCTTAAAATTAAGAGAGGGTATATGACATTAAAAATTATCTACAGTTGTCTCGAAATGCATTTTCAATTTTACATTTAATTTACCAAGTCCTAAATATTTTTTAAATTAATTAATTATAACTTCTCCGACTTTTAACTAACTCAATAATACTTAAGCCCCCATGTGACGTATATTTATGTTTGTAATTACGAAATTATTTTACTATATTTTGATATTTTGTCTATAATGTTTAATTTAAATTAAATTGGCGGAGTTTAGTGTACTTCAAACTCATTCAACTGACTTAAGATGCTTTGGAGTGATTTAGACAACAATTTATTTCCAGTTTTACAACTTGAAACATAATTAATAACATTTGCATTCGGAATATATCAAACTATTTAAGTCCATATTATCAGAGCTGGTTATCACCTTAAGTTGACTGGTGAACAAATATGTTTAACCTGGAGATGCCCGGTTGCCTGCCTATATAAAATACATTATCCTAGCGACAAGCGTGAGAAATTTGACTTAAACTTTAATCAAAGCAGCAGCAACAACCACTCTATTAACAAATGCACTCATTTAGCAATGCAACTAAAAGTGTTGTTTAGTGTCTGGCCATTGGCAGATTTCCAAGCTGCACAGTTGACAGGCAGCTCCTGAGCACCGTTGACGTGCTGCCCACCTTTGCATCCGCCTGGAGGCCAAAACAGCAACACGTTTCATTTATTTCTGCTGCTGTTGTTACTGCTATTTTTTGCCAGTTTTAGCACGTAACCAACGATCAATCAAAGGCACAAAGCTCATCTCAGCGTTGCTTCAAATGATGCGCCAGCAATTGCAGAATTTCACTTTAAACTTAATTGTGGTCGAATTGTTGTTGCTGTTAGTTGTTGGCAACGCCAACGTAATTGGCAAGCATCAGCCCAGCGGCCGTGCATTGGGCAGCCAAGGGTATTACATGGCGTTGCAGTTGTAATCGCAGTTGTTGCAACTGCAAGAAAATGCAACTGAACATTTTTTTGGGGGAAAATGCAAATGCAGCGAAATGTTGCAAATATTCAATCACGTAGTTCGTGCAACATAGCAACAAATTTAAATAAATTATGTAAAATAGATCTTCACGTTTCGGGCTGCTTTTTTGAAGTGGAAGAAAATTGAAAGTGTTTTTTATGGCATTTCCGTTTCTGTTTATTGCGAAAGTCAATAAAAACGAATTGTACATTATGGGTCTGGGTTAACTGGAAACAATTAAAAATTATTCCGTTTTTATAGATTCTTATCGATACTAAAATATACAAAACAATGGCAGATATTTTAAGCACATTTAGTTTCATGGAATAAGGGATCCCCATAACAATTTGCTTACAATAATATAAACGATAAGTATTTATAACCAATTGTATACAAATCAATAAAAACTTATATAAAAAAGCTAAAATATAGTATATATTATATAAAAAAAATCTATATATTTTTGTCTCAACAACACGTTGTTCAACAATTATTTAACATGCTTTTGCAAATGCATTCCAAATACACTTACAAATTATTAAATACAACAATGTAAGAAAATCCGAAAAATTAATCAAGCAAAGTGCAATCATCAAACACCAACAATTACGTGATGGGCAATGACAGCAACAAAATAAACCAAAGCTATTGGCAAATTCTCACATCAACAAAATGTTCGCACATTGTTGAAAGCGCGTTGACAATGCGAAATGTGCAAAAGGAAAACACACAAAAATACACAAAAAAATTAGAGAAAAACAAAAAACAGCACTTTTGTAGCTGTTATTTTTATTGTTGTTAGTGCTTTTCTTTAGTCTGCTTAGGCCGTATGACGTATGAAAGTGAAAATAGGAAGTTAACTCATGAAACCGGCACCGGCATCCGAGCTACAGAGGCAGAGGTACAGATACACCGCAACAGATACAAGCTGTGAGATACATTGGCCAAGTTTATCTATACATTGCGCGGCTGCTTCCTTTAAATTGCGAATGCATTTGTATCTGCATGTTGGTTGCTGTAGCTGTAGCTGTAGCTGTAGCTGTTGTTTGTTGTTGTTTATGCTTTTAGCTGCCACACTATTTTGTTTCTTGGCCAATTTCTAATGGCCAACCACCGGCGTTGCATCCACATAATAGCCGCAGAGCAATTCAGTTATCAATATCACTGCAACACTTGCAGTGATTGCTTTGCATTCACAGTTGCTGCTACCTTGCCGCGTCGTAGATATTGCCGCTAATTTATAGATCCACTTTAAGCGCATGCACACGAGAAACATAATTCGGTTGATTTGGGTATTATGATTTTGTTTTCTCACTTTTTATCTTTGCTTATAATTATTTTCTTTTTGTATAAGTTATCTTGTATCATACCAGCTTGTCAATTTCGCGCGCCTGGTCGTAAAATACTTTATGACTCGTTTTTCTGCAAATTTATTGGTTTATTTTTTCTATCTATTTTCGCTTTTTTTATATAAACAGTTAGTTTTGATTTGTAAAACCAGTTTGTACTTATAGTGTGGCCCCAAACTGAGTCATATTGGTGAAATTAATTACTATGTGCGGACCATTAAATTGGTTACGGCTCTTAGTCGCTGATAAAGATTAAAGTTAATTGTTATTTAGTTTTGGTATTCTAAGGTTGTAGTGTTGCAATGAATTGAAATTGTTATAGAATATTTGATATTTAGTAAAAGTTTGTGTAACTAAGACCCTGAGATATAAAGTTCCTACAAGAGCCCTGTCCATAAGCCTCGAACAATATTACGCAATCCACACATAAAATCGCACGCTTTAATCTAACGCCATTGTCATGGCACGCATAAATTCCGTTAGTTTATTTTATTATTATTCTAATAAGTGCATAACTCCCACACTAATAAGCACCAACAAAAAACCCAAAAAAAAACTCCCAAAATCATAGTGAACGAGGGGGAAGTCAGCAACCGCATATGCTAGTTTGCAGTTGTATCTTTATTAATAACTATATTTTTCCCACCAACGAAACGTTTCAATGAGCACGAGTCCAACATGCCGAATAGACTTACTGACTGCCTAACTGACAGACTGACAGCTGAAAGAAACCTTCAAAAGCAACAGCAATGCAGACAATGCCAACCATATCAATAAAGATATCATATATACTCAAAGTACGAAAACAATGAATGTACTTACTTACAACAACTGATATGTGGCACTCGCATAATCGACAGGCGCATCGCTTCAGTGCGCACAACAATAGACGCCCTGGTGATATATAGACATAAATGCACTATAGCTCATTAGGGAGGGACCCGACAACATGGCAATTGTAAACGCAGTCCAAGGAAGTGTGAAGCATAAAGATTACAATCTTTATAATCAATGCATAAAATACTTAATGAGTAACAAGCTGAAAACAATTACTTATTTGTATGTCATAAGATATTTCTCACTATCTCAATAAAGATTTAAATATGTCTTTAAGTCCAACTTATGCTACTTGCAAATCATATATATAATATTTCAGCTTCTTTAGATACCAATTAATCACAATTTAAGCAAGTTTTTACACAGTCTAACATAAAGTCGTTAATATAAGTAAATTATGACTTACAAAAGTTTGTAGACATAAAAAATATACGAAAAACCACTCCTTTTTTGTTTTACCATACACGTAATTTCAACTAACTCTTTGGGGACAAAAAGTTGTTCAGGACAACTTTTAAGTGTGTATATATTTTAATTTTTTTTTGGAAAACTATGCACGATTTCTGCACGCATTTTGAAGTTCATCTGGTTATTTTCTGGGTAGTTGTTGTTGATTTTTAGTTTGTTTTAACATTTTTGGCTTGATGGAAAAACTTGTTGCGAGGTCAACTGCCTCTCTTTTGGATTTTTCACGCTCTCGTACGCTTTGGATTACTTTCGAGGCATCCTTCAACTTTGCTGTTGTCGACTTGAGTTTGGAACTCTAACTTCAAGAGAGACAAAGACAAAATCGTGTTTCAAATGTCAAATGTGCGCACCATCATTGTAACAAATCGATCTCGCGATCTCGAACTGTAGCAATTGCTTGATCTCCTCAAATTCGTTCGGTTTCTCTTTTAGTTTCAGTTTCGTTTTTGATTCTGGTGGTTTCGGCTTTGCGTTTACAAATTGCAATTTTATTGCTGTATAAAATCCACCAAGTTGCTCAGTCTAATTGAGGTCAAAATCGTTGTAGACATCTCCAAAAATTTAAAGAAAAACAAATTGTAAAGACACTTTTGTTGTGTATTTCGGGCAGAAGCCGCTTTAAGTGTTTGCCAAATTGTGTAAAAAAAAAGTCAGGTTTGCAAACTGAGATATTTCAGTTATTTATCTAATGAATGTGCGATTTGGCTAATGTAAAAAACATTTGGCTGATTAAATTGAGGGAGAAAAATAAAACAATTATAAATTTAACTGAAATTTCTATTTTCTGTCAAACATAACATATGAATAGAGGAGAAAGGGCCGAGTTGCAAAATAAATTGAATTAAAATACAGTTACATTCCTCAGGAGTATAAATATCATAGTCCACCAATTTAAATTTTTAAGAAATATATGTAACAATTCGAAATTATAAACCTCAAGCCTACTTATTATCCCTGCCTGCCCTCAACTCATTCTAAAACAACAAACATCACTTTGAATTTCGCCTATTGGTTCAGAGATCAGCACCCAAAATTCAACTGGATCCACAAACGGCATAATTATTACACAATTATAGTTGCAAGCAGCGAGTACTCGTATTATTCAACAATTGAATTGCTTCTGTTTTAGGCACTGGTGGCATGAACTCAATGTACAACGTTTTGAAATTTCCAAAAAAAAAAAAAAAACAAAGAAAAGGCGAAAAGAAGAAATAAGATAAAAGACAGCAAGCACTTCAGCTACATTGGGCTAAGGTCATGTGAAACTATGCACAGTTTGTTTAAAACCAGCAACGAAACAGATAAGCACTGGGCCAAGCTATTTTGGACCTCCGTAGATGATGAGCTATGACTTCTGTCTGTCTTATGCCTAACTTGGCCTTTTGTTATTACCAATGCTGCCGGCAATTTGGCTAAAGGTACCAAAAATTGTTTGGGTTTCTGTTTCGTTTTATGGATTTTTCGCGTGCACAATCTACGCCTCTTTAGCGACGGCAGCCAAGGCATTGTTTTATTGTGTGCTTAAATAAATTGCGCTCTGACATCGTGGACTTTTGTAGTGAATTGCAGTTGCAAGGTCATATCTAATTGTAAAACTTATAAAAATGTGATCATTAACAATAATTTGCCAATAAAAAAATCAATATTTAGTCACAATGAGTCAAGTTCGTTTTCCAAGTCTTTGGTTTCTTGAAGTTTGCAAAATTTGTTTTTTAATTATATTCTTTTTAAATGCCAATCACAGTGATTAAAACAACATGTCCACCAGCACATCAGCCTGTGATTGTTTGGTAGGCGTGCCCACCGGCCCAACGCTTGCCTCCACATGCGGCGGAAGCGCATTTATGCTGTTTATGGGTCTACTCGAGGTGTTCATACGATCCCAATGCGATCTGGAGGATCCCTGCGGACGAGCCAGCTCAAGGGTGAGCTCAGTTACTGATAGTGGCAAAAATAGTACACTAACTTAATTATATTATTCTGCAGTTTCGCTCGGAGCCGGATTATGAGTACGATTTCATTGTCATTGGCGGCGGCTCAGCGGGCTCTGTGGTTGCCTCACGTCTCTCCGAAGTGCCACAGTGGAAAGTGCTGCTCATTGAAGCCGGTAAGTGATAAACAATTCATTTTGACAGCTGCTAAACTAGCAGCAACATGTTGCCAGCCGCATGTATATATACATGCAATCAAGCTACTATTTTGTCAGATGGGGGCGCTGTGGGCAATTAGACACGCGTTATGTTGCATTTGTTTTGAAGTAATTGAAGCCTAACCGCAACAGCCACACACCAAAAATAAACAAAGACAACAACACTAATGAGTAACTTGAGCAACACTTAACAATAGCAACAACATGCAACACTAACAACAATGTGGCAAAGAAGCAACCGCAACTGCCTTGAGCATTATGTAAAATAAACAAGCTTCCAACCATTTCCCCCTCTCTTCAGCTACACATTGCGTTTTGCTCTGCCAGTAATTTGCTTCTATGCAAATTACTCTTGTATAAATACACATACACATGTAGTTGATTGCTTATAGGCTTATATGCCACTTGGTCTTGGTGTCCAGCTACAAAGTTGTTTGTTAAACGCTTCACTGATTTTTTGCAGTTAATAATTGGCAATTGTTTGTATCATTTTACACATTTTTTATTAATGAATTAAAATGCGCATAATAAAAGCGTGTGAGTGGGAGAGGAGCTCGCTGGACATGTAGCTCGTGTTTAATGCAGGGCATTCACTTTGGTTAAAGGCAGCTTGACGAGTACTCCACCATTTAATGCTCAAGTGCTGTTAAAAACATTTAAGGCATTATAATTATTATATACAATTATTTTATGCAGTAAGTGTTAAATCCAGCCATATCTCTCTGCGTCATTTATTCAGCGACATTTACATTCATTTCACAGACATTTACATGTTATGGGACGGGTTTCAAAAATACATTAAGATATTTTATTTTTTATTAACAAGAACAGCTAATAACAATATAAATACATATTAAACTGATTATCGAGTTAAAATTACTAGAGAAGTTAAAATATGATTAATTACATAAATAAATAAAAATATAAATATACATATTTATATACATAATATATATTTTTTAATTGATCAATATTAAGAGAAGCCAGGCAGCTAGACGTAAAGGCCACAGAGTGATAAGGATGCTATTTTAGCAATAGCGCACAAGCTCTAATTTCTCACAGCTAGTCTGAAAATTGGCAAGATAATTAATCTTAATTTCTCAGCCTTGAATTATCCATTAGCATTGGCTTATCAGCTGGCGTAGTTGGCACTGCTTGAGTTGCTTTTGGGATTAGTGTCGTTGCTATGCCAACAATGACTATACCTTTGCACTTACTATATTAATTGCCAAATTAGACAAATGAAAAGTATAAATGTAATATAGATGATAGATTTATTTCTAAATTAGCTGGTGTTAATATTCTAACAAATGCTAAATTGCAATTACAATTGCGCTTGTATTGTAATTACGTAGTTGGCAATATTATCGTGAGTGCATCTTAAGTGCTTGTGGTTAAGCAGCTCTTTGTTGATCTTGTGTCGATTCCACTTGGTTGCACATATAATTTATATAATCAGCTAGTTGACACTTTTTAAACACAAATTCTGTCTTGAGACAATGAAGTTCGTCGATTCGTTTGTTGGTTAATTATTTATTTTCAATGTCGGCAATCTGCAAAAGTTGTGCATCAGCAAGCGGATGTATTTCTCGCAGAGGTCAAATGTATTTCATTAGGTGTTTGGATATAAATAGAGAATTTAATATTTGATTGTATCAAATTTGTACCTTTTTTCTATCAATAAGTATGTGTCATAGGTCTTTAGTTTTTATAGCTACCCGTTAGGTGAAGTCTTTTATATATTATTAAAGTTTTAATATATGTTCTTATATATTACTGCATTAATAAATACACAAGCTTATCTTCTAAGAATTTATTTTTTTCTGAGCTTTTTATCTGGCAAATATTTGCTTTATTTATGGTGTTTTTAAGTACATACTATGTATTCAAAGGCATTTTTTTTTTAAATATTGTATTATAAATTCCATTTAATTATTTATGTTAACGTAGTCTAAAACAATTTTAAAAAATTGTTAAATATCGAGCATGTGTATTCGCTTGAAATTCTGGTTTATTTATAGGTATTAGCTGAGCAATGTAAACAATTTAATGCATTCGAATACAAGCAAAAATATTAAAATTCAATCAAGTATTGGGTGCTAATTATTATTTTTTTATCATTATTTCGCGACGTAAGCATTAAACAAAAACTGGCATTTCAATTGTGAAAGAATCTTGTTTTATTGTATTTGCGTCTTAGACATGCTAAATACTGTTATTTCAGTTTTTGTTTAAAAAGTTATACTGATTGTTGAATTGGCCGCAATTTGTGGCAATTGCAGTTTATTTGCTTTTGGCATTATTCCAACTGACTAAATGACATGATAAAATAACTATTTGAACAGCATGCGGTGGATTTTTAAATCCCACGGCTTAAATAGCAATCAATTACCTTTTATTTAAATTGATTTAGTTAATTGATGAGCATTGAAATGGCCAAATGTCGTGGGTGCATCGAAAACGGAAATTCTAGAATGCTGATTCAAAACTTAACAAAAAATTACTGATCACGTTTAGAAAATGTCAAGAAATGTACGATGGAAATTTCAACGTATTGTGAATGGGTTTTTAATCAGCATATCTCGTTCTTACTGACGAGTTTGTTGTTTTGTGTATGCAAAAATTAGTGGACTACTATTGTTGTAGTGCTATGGTGTCATTAAATAAAACAACAATGCATCGATTTGTTATTTCGGGAACAGCTTTCATCGGTTGCGATTTAAAGGTCAACCATTTGACGTGATTGTAATTTTTCGACAATTTTAATTTTAGCAAGTTCTAACTTTCTGAGCTACGAGTGTGTGTCTGTGTGGTGCTTATTGTTAAAGCAACTTAATCAAGTTTTCTTGTAATTTTTCTGTTAATCTTTATGATGATAATTTGATTAACTTTTCTCCTTTATTTAATTTTCTAGGTGGCGATGAGCCGGTTGGTGCTCAGATACCCTCCATGTTCCTCAACTTCATCGGCAGTGACATTGACTATCGCTATAATACAGAACCTGAACCCATGGCTTGTCTCTCCTCGATGGAGCAGCGCTGCTATTGGCCACGTGGCAAAGTTCTGGGCGGCACTTCGGTAATGAATGGCATGATGTACATACGCGGCAATCGTGAGGACTACGATGCCTGGGCTGCAGAGGGCAATCCCGGCTGGGCTTACAACGATGTGCTGCCGTTCTTCAAGAAATCCGAAGATAACTTAGAGCTGGATGCTGTAGGCACGGATTATCATGCAAAGGGCGGTCTTTTGCCCGTGGGCAAGTTCCCCTATAATCCACCATTGTCTTATGCCATACTCAAGGCTGGCGAGGAGATGGGCTACTCGGTGCAGGATCTCAATGGACAAAACGCCACAGGTTTCATGATTGCCCAGATGACCGCTCGTAATGGCATTCGGTATAGTTCAGCGAGGTCGTTCTTGCGACCCGCCCGCATGCGCAACAATTTGCATATATTGCTAAATTCGACCGTCACAAAGGTGCTGATTCATCCGCACACGAAGAACGTGCTGGGCGTTGAGGTCAGCGATCAGTTTGGCAGCATGCGCAAGATTATGGTCAAGAAGGAGGTGGTGCTCAGCGCTGGCGCAGTCAATTCACCACAGATTCTACTGCTGAGCGGTGTGGGTCCCAAGGATGATCTGAAAAAGGTGAATGTGCGTCCTGTGCACAATTTGCCCGGTGTCGGCAAGAATCTGCAGAATCACGTTGCCTTCTTCACTAACTTCTTCATCGATGATGCGGACACGGCGCCGCTGAACTGGGCCACCGCCATGGAGTATTTGTTATTCCGCGATGGCCTAATGTCGGGCACTGGCATTTCTGATGTGACAGCTAAAATCTCCACTCGCTTTGCCCAGCGACCGGATCTACCTGATCTGCAATTGTATTTTGGCGGTTATTTGGCCAGCTGTGCTCGCACTGGACAAGTGGGTGAACTGCTCTCAAACAATTCACGCTCCATACAAATGTTTCCGGCTGTGTTAAATCCCAGATCACGAGGTTATATCACACTACGTTCTTCTGATCCACTCGATCCGCCACGCATTTTTGCTAACTACTTGACCGATGAGAATGATGTCAAGACCTTAGTGGACGGCATCAAGTTTGCCATCAGGCTATCGCAGATGTCGCCTCTTAAACAGTACGGCATGCGCATGGACAAAACCGTCGTCAAGGGTTGCGAGTCCCATACCTTTGGCAGCGATGCCTATTGGGAGTGCGCTGTGCGTCAGAATACGGGGCCGGAGAATCATCAAGCGGGTAGCTGCAAAATGGGTCCACAACAGGATCCACTCGCCGTTGTCAATCACGAGCTGCGGGTCCATGGCATACGAGGATTGCGTGTCATGGATACGAGCATCATGCCCAAGGTCACATCTGGCAATACGCACGCGCCGGCGGTAATGATTGCCGAGAAGGGAGCCTATCTGCTGAAACGAGCCTGGGGCGCCAAGGTCTGACGTGTGGATGCAACGTGGACGCTGCATAGAGTAATTTAAAACAAAAACAATTCCATCAAAAATTACTGCAAGAAAGCTACAAAATTAAGAACAAATTATCTATAAGGCCTTAAAAAAAAAATACAAAAACTATTCTACATATTATACAATTTTATACCTATTAATTTCATCCTTTTGGCTATACTAATTCAACTACATCTTATATGATCCTCACTCTAAGCACCGACCTCGTTGCGCGATTTATACTACAGTGCCCGACACCTATTAAGTTAACTTTACGCTAATTTAACTAATTTTCCAGAATAGAAAAAACTACACCCATTGAATTTTTTAGATTTCTCTTGACAATCATTAAAATACTATTAATTTTGTATTCTTTGAATGAGAATATTGCTATCGCATGTATTTATTGTTCGATTAAATTGCAACTATTTAGTGTAATTGATTTTTTATTTTTAATTGACCTTATCTTACTTTGATAGATTTTTAGTGGTTTGCTTCTACAAAAGCAAAGGCATTCCTTATTCTGCTAAACAGTGAAGTATTGGGCTTAACTAAACATATTTATTCCTGGAAATGATGATCGCACAGACCCTGAAGATTACCGTTTTACCAGAACCGCATTCGAGTTTCAAAATAAAGAAGTAAAATTTGAACAAGAAAAACCATACTTAATCTTCATTATAAATAAAATGAATCCACGCTTTACTTTGTGGTCCCCATACCCTTAGAATATTTATATTATTAGTTTTGATACATTGTAAATAAAAATTTACGTTAGTCAATGAAAATGACCAATTCATTCTTATGTATAAATTCAAGCTTAAACTGAGTCTTTATTTCCATTGTGTCCAATAGATTTTTGATATTAACCAATTTACTATCACGCTATATCCGCATATAATATTTGCAAATACTATTCACATTATAAATAATGTAGCTGTATATTGCGTGCAGTGTAAATTTGTTTATTTAATTGAGCAACAGATTTCATATAAAAAGAGTTCCGTATTTGCAGCTACGCACTAAAGTCTGTCTAGCGTTGCTAAAATGTTTTCAAAGTTTGTAATATCTGTTGCTCTGTTAATCCTTCTGAGTCTTAGTATCGGCATTCTTAATGCAATTGGCGACCGTGCCAAGGATAATGGTGATATATTCATTATAAACTACGATAACTTCGATGGCGATGTGGATGACATATCGACCACTACCCAAGTGCCTAGGGAAGAGGGCTACATTGATATGGATGAGATTGTGCATGTCTGTAATACAAGTTTTATAACACCACTTTGTGAGTCCTGTGCTGGATTAGTGGTAATCTAGTAGCATATTAACATTTAAATTTGTATTCCTAGCTGTCTTGCAGCAGTTTAATACCACGGGCAAACTATTGGATGAAACTGATAGAACCAGCATGGTTTGTGACTAATCCAAATTCTATAAATATATTTCTCAACGCATTTTTCTAGTGCTTCATTCGCTGTTTCTTTGAAAAGACTGGCATCCTAGATAACTACAAGCTGAATGTGGACTTGGTACGCAAATATATGTGGCCAGCAACCGGTGATTCCATTGAGTACTGCGAGGCACAGGGCAGTGAGTGGATAAACGAGTGAAAATATATTTATTTGGCTATCTCACAATTGTAATTATTGCAGAGGATGAGGTCAATCCCTGTATCAGAATCTATGTTATTATCCAATGCTGCATGATCCGAGCCTTGACAGATGCCAGGAACAAGCCCATGGTTTAAATAGCACAAAATATATAAATAAGTCCATCATTGCTTAGAAAATTACAAATAGTTTTTAATATGCACTAAATATATGTATATGCACAGGAGGTGCACAAAGCATCAACTAATATCGAATTTCTTTTATCAAGATTTCTGGGCAAGAGACTCTAGGGAACTGCCACACACTGTGTTGCTGTAGTTTAATAAACGACTAAGCCGCTTGCCAATAGGTTTTTGATATTGATTGGTTTTTAACAGAAATTCTTTGGACTGATGCTCGACGGCGCCATTGTCCAGCTGGTATTTGCACAGCGCGTGCAGCGGGCGCACCAACAGCTGGCGCAGCTCTGGCTGGGATTCGAGCACCGCTAAACATTGCGCTGCCGTCTCCAGTGTGCTCAAGCAGCCTTCGGTGGGCTGTGTACGTATAATATAATCGCTAATGCCCACCGCAATGAGCTTTACCTGACGCAGGCGGTGCAGTGCCGGACTGCTGGCATAGATGGCCTTTGCCTGCGGCCAAGTACCGTCAATGAGCACCAGCGTATAAGGTCCTGCACTACGATCGATCTCCTCCAATGGCACCGAATCCTTGCTGGGATACAACAGCAGTGTCCGCGGCGAGTCGAGCACACGCTGCAAATCTGCTGAGTGGCGGTTGTTGGGGAAACGCTTGCCCTTGTAGACAACACATTTGCCCGGCTGCAGTCCCAGTTGCAGCATAAGTGCTGTGCGCAATGACCGCTTCTCCTCGGCAGGATGTTGGAGTATCACAATTTGCGAGGCAACCGCAACAGGAGGCTGGGGTAGCGCACAACACCAACAAACAACTGTGGGGCGTCTAAAACAAAATCAAATGCCATACAATTATATGGCAACTTATGCCGCATTATTTACTTACTTGCACTGATCACATTTGTCGCGCATGTCTGGCGGATCGGCGCTGATGCCTATAAGATCCTGCCAAGCATCGTCCGGTGTTATTGTCATTTATTGAATTAAAAAAAAACGTTTAAAATTTACTTAAAAATTAGTTAAACACACTCAGTATGCTCTATTGCATCAGGTGGCAACGCCAAGTCAACATGCTACATGTGTTGCGAATAACGACCCCGTGTTTGCCAACAGCTGTTCATCGCGACACTAATTAATTGTTGTTGTTGTTTTTTAGTTTGGTTTGTTGGGCTCGGACTTTTGTACGTTTTTGAAATTATTAAATAGAGAAAGTACAAAATGCACAGCATTGGATGGACGCTTATTGTGAAACGTGGCTGCTTCTGCAGCAAAGAAAGACTCAACATCAATGGTTCCCGCTACACAGTACGCGAGCGACTCGCACAAGGGTAAAGTAAAAAGAAAAAAAATAAATAAGATGAGAGATCGACTGTTAGTTACCCCTTAAATAGTTAATAGACAAGAGAGAGTGATCGACTGGCAGATAATCTGTACCAACTTCTAATGTGGTATAATCCACTAGTATTTGTTGTAGTCATTCGAGTAGGGATCTTATGTATATCGATCTAATTTTAAACAGTTTGTAAATATTTGAAGTGTTGCTTTTTCTAAATTTAAGTTTAAAGAACACGAAGAGAATAACTATCTTAGTTTTACTAAATTATAATTTCCCAGTGACCACTTTCTTACAATTTTAATTATGTTAAGTTATGTCAGCTTTATCATTCTTTTCACTTTAATCTGTATATCAGAAGTGATTGTTCTCTATCAAATATAGGGCATAATTATTTCCGTTACACAGATATTACAATCTTATCTCTCACTATCTGTCCGCAGGGGCTTCAGTTTAATTGACCTGGCGGAGAATGCGGCAACGCGGCGCTGCTACGCGATAAAGCGCATCACTTGCCACAGCATCGAGGATCAGAATATCGCCCTGCGTGAAATCGAGAATTGCCGCAAAATCGATTCGGAGCATGTGATTCGCGTGGTGGACTATGAGCTGATTGGCCACGCGGACATTGTGATAAATACGACGAGCACGTTGTTCATTGTGCTGCCTTACTACAAGCATGGTTCGCTGTGGGATCATCTACAGCTGCGCGCCCGCAAACAGGATCATATGCCTGAGGCGCAGATATTGCAAATATTTCTGGGCATCTGTGAGGGTCTGCTAGCTATACATGAGGCGAAGCCAGTACCCTTGGCGCATCGTGATTTGAAAACTGCCAACATATGTTTGTCTGACTCTTTCGAGCCGATCATTGTGGATCTGGGCTCGATGACGGAGGCACGCCTGCAAATCTGCGGCCAATCGGACGCCCAGCGACTGCAAGACGAGGCCGAGGAGCGCAGCTCAATTGTCTATCGGGCACCCGAATTGTTCACCGTCAAAACTTACTGCACCATAGACGAGCGCACCGATATTTGGGTGAATAGTAATGAAGAAATATATTTTCGTAGCCAACTCACTCTTTTACTTTCTTTCGTCACCCAGAGTCTTGGCTGCGTGCTTTATGCCATGTGCTACTTTAACAGCCCCTTCGATCCCATTTACGAACGTGGTGATAGCGTGGCTTTGGCCGTACTCAGCGGCAATGTCAACATTCCAGAGGATTCAATTTATACAGAGGTCAAGATCAAAGCTCAAATACGGTCATGCATGTTAATTGAGTATCTAATATATATATATATATTATGCCTTTCGCAGGATATGCACGATCTTATTAAGTATATGCTGCGCATCGACCCTATGGAACGGCCCTTCATATACAGTGTCATTGAGCAGACGCACGATCTTATACAGAAGTTAGAGGGTCGCGTGTAGCCTCAATCTTGATGCCTCAATTCCGAATCAGTCCTAGTACACCGCTATACATAACTGTTTTTTGACTACGTTTTATTGTAATATACATAAATGTGCACGTATTTTGTGAAACTAACACCTAAATAATGAATCTAAATCTATAATTAGTGTTCGTCCCGCGTCAAACCGGGACAATTACCACCCAAATCCTCGACGCTTTCGTAGTGTGTGCCACACCAATAGCAAAATGTATAGGCAGTGCGCAGATAGCTGATCAGTAGCTCCAGCTGCTCGCTTGGGCTGTACTGCTCCTCCTGCTCCTCATCTTGCTGCGACGCCTGCTTTTCATCGCTTTCTGCCTCTTCAATGGGTTCTACAGGCTTGGGAGGCCAGAAGAATTCTAGTTCTGGCTCAGCAACACCGGCAGCCAAGTCCAGCGATTCGCACGTTTGCTGACAACTTTTTATGTCGTAGTTTAGCTTGCGCTCCTCCGCCTTTTGAGTGGCTCTCCGTCGATATGCCTCTGTGCTGATTTCTTCACCGGATTCTATGCCCGCCTTGCGTAGCATATGCTCACGCCTCAGCTCTTGCCGCTTGGCTGCAAGCTCGGCAATGGCTGCCTCCCGGCCCAGGCCACCACGATCTTTCTTGATGGTTATTCCGATGGGTTCCAGGCGAGCATCCGCCTGTTTTCCCAGCCTACTGCCTGCCTTGTATCCCATTTTAGCCATTAGTTGAAAGCCCTTGTTGTCAGCAGCCAGCGGCTTGTTGAGCGACTCCTGCAGGCGCGCATTGTCTACAGAAACAGCATTGACCGCTTCTCGTTGTCGTTTATTATTTTGCTCTTGCTTTGCTTGCACCTCGATTTCTCGTTTCTTGGCGCGATTGTTTAACAAGCTGGGACGCACTTCCTGCAGACTGGTGATAGTTTATATGGTAATAAACGCAGCTAGGTAGCAGCTTAAAATATTACTTACCCCGACAAAAATTTGTCAGACATATAATCATCCTCAACGTCGGACATTGTAACAAATATTATCAAGACGAAATGTAAACAAACTTACTCTGACACTGAACTGTAACAGCAACAGAAGGCGCTATGCTATCAATAGTGGCGGCAGTCCGATATTCCTCCTATCGAGACTATCGTTACCCATGTGCCACCTCTATTGGCAGCCTGGCATGCCATGTGCTCGAATGCGTTAAAATTACCAGCCGAAATTTAGTTAAATACGTTATTTAATCACATTAAATTAAATAAAATGGGCACGGTGAGTAATAAATAAAGCATTTCAACATTCGATGATACCCAATTCACATGTGATACTTGCAGAAAAAGGTAAAAATCAGCTCGGTGAAGCGCGCCGCGCATTTGAAGTCGAAGAAAACGCCGCTGAGCAAACAGCAACAACAAAAGAACAAACAGAAACGTGAGCAACTGAGCTCCAAGCGGGAACAGGGCCAAAACATCTTCTCACAAAAGGCTCACAAGCGTGACAATCTAGCGCAGCGCAAGAAACACAACAAACGCGAGTCTCTCGGGCTGCACAGAGGCCTGGATGCGGATGAGGATGGAGACGATGATCTTGGCGGCGATCTGCTGCTGGATAATGTGGCAGATATGCTGGACGGCGATGATTTGGCGCTGCTGCAGGAAAACAAACGCAAGCGCAAAGCAAAAGCTGTTCCTTTGGATGATCAGCAGCAGCAATCGGTGGGTCTTGAAATGGCCTACGCGACGGCCAGCAAAAAGGAACAGGCGGCGCAAAAGATTAAGGTCAATCTGCTGCCGATTAAGTCACGCGATGGTGAGATTATAACGCGTACAACAGAAGTCGACTATGTGCCCAAGCCAAAGCACAAGGCGAAAGAGGAGGTGGAGGAAGCGGAAGATGAGGATGATGAGGCGGAGTCAGCAAGCGATGCTGATGTCTTTGAGGACAGCGACGATGATGTGGTCAATGATGACGGCCCTGTGCCCAAGCAGAAGTTCATAACCACCACAGATTTGCTAATTGCAAGACAGCAGGAAATCGAACGTCAAAAATATCGCATTGGCATCATTTGTTCCGGTATTCTGGAGAAACCTGAGGATAAAATGCGCAACTTTAATGCGCTCTACGAGCTAATGGACGAAATTAATTCAGCGACAGGTGTGCCCAACATGTTCGCTGTACGCAAACTAGCCATTATTTCAGTCACGGAAATCTTTAAGGATATTCTGCCCGAATATCGTGTGGGTCAGGTGGATACAAAGATGCAAACGGTGCGCAAAGCTACCCTGGATCGTGTGACATTTGAAAAGGCGCTCCTGCAGCAGTTTAAGAAGTTTCTGCAGAAACTGGAATATCTGACGGGACAGGTGAATAAACGTGGTGGCCAAAAGACACCACAAACCATAAAAATGGCCAGCGTGGCAGTGCAGTGCATGTGCGATCTGCTGATGGCCCATCCGTACTTCAATTACGTTCAGAACATTGCTCAGCTTTTGGTTTACATGCTCAACTGCAACTATGGCAAGATGCGCGTCATCGTCAATCAATGTTTCCGTTCGGTCTTTAGCAACGATAAGAAGCTGGACATGACGCTATTTATAGTGCGACGAATCAATCATCTGATTAAGACGAACAAGAACAATGTGAATGTCGAGTGCATTACTTGCATGATGGGTCTGAAGATCAAGCATGTCAATCTAGATGCCGAAAAGGAGAACGAATTGAAGCAAAAAAAATTGGAATCGCATCGCCAGCGTCTGCTCAGTTTGTCGAAGAAGGAGCGCAAGCGTCGCAAGAAACTTACCGAGGTGAACAGGGAGCTGGAGGAGACACGGGCTGAGGAGAACAAACAGACCAAACACCACAAACTGACAGAAATTATCAAAATGGTTTTCACTATCTATTTCCGTGTGCTGAAGAATGATCCCACATCGCGTGTGCTTAGTTCGATCCTTGAGGGTCTGGCGGAGTAAGTTTATGGCTCTCAAGGCGTGTCATCAGCCAACTAATTTTTCTCTTTCATAACAGATTCGCTCATGTTATTAATCTGGAGTTCTTTGCGGATCTTATTGATGTTTTGAATCGTATACTCGAGGAGCAGGATTTGGGGTATCGCGAGCAGCTTCACTGCATCCAGACAATATTCGTTATCCTCTCCGGTCAGGGCGAAGTCTTGAACATAGATCCCATACGCTTCTATCAGCACTTCTATCGCAACATGCTGGTCGTGCAGGCGGGCAAGAATCACGATGATTTTACTATTATACTGCGCACACTTGATGAAGTGTTAGTGAAACGGCGGCGCAACATGAGCCAGCAGCGTCTGATGGCATTTGTGAAGCGTCTCCTGATGGGCAGTCTGCATCTGCTGCACAATGGCACCCTGGCCACGCTGGGCACCATCAAGCAGACATTCCAGTTGACCTCAGTGCTGGATGCGCTCCTCGACACGGATACCACAATTGGCTCTGGCCGCTATGACCCCGAACTAGATGATCCCGAGTTCTGCAATGCGGCGAGTACATCGCTCTATGAGCTCTCCTTGCTGGCGCGTCATTATCATCCCACAGTGCGTCGCATGGCAGCGCATATAGCTAGCGGAGTGCCTGCCTCGGGCGAAGGCGCACTGCCCACAGACATTGGCAAACTGTAAGCAACACTATTTTGCATATAATACCTGCATCCATCATACGAGTATGTATAAACAATTATTTTTATATCGACAGCAATGCGCATGAACTCTTTGCACAGTATGACAGCACTCAAATGGCTTTCAATCCCACGATACCCGTGCCAAGGCAGAGTGAACCCAAGCTCAAGCGGGGCAGGCATATGTATTTACGGTCAGATTTCAAGCAGCACTATGGAAAATTGCTAAGGAGTGCTGCAACAAAACGAAGCTTGTGCAACAAGATGCTGCAATTAGATTTTCTTAGTGAACTCAGCAAGCACTGAAATAAGCTATTTTAAATTATTTTTATGATATCGTCATGTAGCGGAAAAAATAATTTTGTTGGTTTTAATCATTAAAATATATAGAAATCCATTCTAATATTTGTATATATTAAAACAAAAAAAATAACTGCCTTCTAATTATAGCATATTAAATACGCTTCATTCATAACCCGTGCTCTTGTAATTATTTTTTCGATTGATTTTTCGCGTGGTAGTTCTAATAAAAGTAAGAGAGTAACTATAAAGCCCAAACATACATAAGAACTTTTTAAACAAATGCAATTTATATATAGAATAAGAATTGAATACATATGAATTTAAGTTTAACTACAAATGATGGTGTAAGGAGCTCCTAAGTGTGTGTATGTTTGTGTGTGTGGATGTAAATATTATTTATGCTAAGCCTAAGGACATTTGAGTCTATTGCCATTTAACCGGGTACAGATGCTTGGATTCATTAGATTCTATACTTGAGTGCGTTGTTGGCGTTGCCCAACGCTGTTCGGCGGCAGATACTCTCGATTGCCAACTCCAACGACAGGCTGAGCGAAGCTACCGATAGCATTACCGGGCAAGATGCCCGATGCGGTGGCTGCCAAACCAGCAGCAGCCGCAGCTGGCGCAATCCTGTTCGCACCCGGAGCAGCCACAGTACCAGCGACGCCACCGGGTCTTATGATGGTGCTTTGGCCATAAAGAGATTGCGTTTGTGTCGGCGTCGGTGAGGGCGTGGCATACGAGCCACGTTGAGCATTATAGCCTGTCAGCTGAGGTGCGCCAGTGGCACGCAGAGGGCCGCCGACGGCTGCGGACTGTGCAACTGCACCATATGCTGTACTCACAGGCTGTGCACCACCACGATAGGTATTCACATTGGAAGTGGCGACGGAGGCGGAGCTACCAATGGTATAGTCATAGATGTAGGCATTATTCGCATATAGACTGGGTGCCGAAACGCAGTCATACTGATTCCACCACACACAGACGAGCGTCTCCTGGCTGAAGACGGTGCCATTGGGACACAGGAACGAATAGGTGCGATTCAATGCGCATATGTGAAAGACCTGGCATTGGGCTTCAATATCCGCATAGTAGCCAGGAAGTGGCTGCTGAGTGCAATCGAAATTTGTGCGCGGCACTTGAGCATAAATGGGATAATCCACGCCAGCAACGCCGGGTATGGCCGAATAGTCACCATCGGCGCCATCATTATAATCATCAGAAGTAGGGGAAGCACGTGCTCCCGCTGTATTGCCATACTGTTGCTGCTGCGGACCGTAGGGGCCGCCACGAGCCGCACTAGATGCGCCCTGCAAGCCGGTGCCTGTTGGTCGTCTGGGTAGATTGGAGGTACTGCTCAATGCAGAGGCTGGAGCGCCAAATGCAGTCGTTGCCTGTCCACTTGGCGTATAGCCCACAGCTGGCGATGGAAACAGGCCAGCGCCGTAGGCTGTTGCAGGCGCAGGCGTCAGGGGCAGAGCTGTGCCTGTGGGATAGGACCCAGGTTGCAGACGTGCTGCAACCGCGCCTCCGCCTCCAGTGGTGGCCAGCTCGGGACGCACATAGTTGTAACCACTTTGTGCCTGTACAGAGAGATTTCAATTTGAATTCGTATGAATCATTATGGTCATCAACTCACCTGCACCTGCAGCTGGGCGAAACATCCGCTCCAGAGCAGCAGTAGAACTGCAAGAAGTGAATGATTCAACATTAAAGCTTTCTAATTGTGCAAAATACTCGATGAGATTTGGCGTTTGCTCCGAGATTCGAACCAGTCGACGCAACAAATTGCAAACAACTGAGCCGCAGCTTCAGCACCGAGGCGGGCAAATGTCCATTTTAGGGCCAAGTACGTTGCCAGATGCGATTCTTGGAACTGATAGCAAACGCGGACGGCTCTACATTGCGATCTTTATTTATCAGTTTCCTACTCAGGTGTCTGGCACAGTGGTGCAAGTGGAGATTATTATATGAATGTGTTCGTCACTAGGTGGGTAATTTTTTAAAATTAATTTCAATCAACACATTTAGGTTGAACTTTGACCTTGAGTACTATATTATTAGAGAAGACAATGTATTTTCTTTCAGACTGACTGAGCCACTTTATTAATTTCATAATTTTTAAGAATACAAATGGTTTGTCTCCAATGAAATAATCGAATGAATTCATCTCAATTGAAAAATAACAATTTTAATTTGCAACAAAATGTGTATTTTTCACGCCACTGTGCAACAACAACGCACTGCAACATCAATTGGCTGCCAAGAATTGCGATTGCTTGTTTGCTTTCGGCCAAAAAGAAGACGCATGCCTCGTAAATATGCAAGGCAGCAAAAACTTAGACAGACAGACGCCCATAACAATAACAACAACAACAACAACAATAGTGGGCTCCAAAGGAAGTGCTAATAATGATGAGGCGGGTCGGTCACTGTTGAGTTACGTGCTGAGTCTCCCATATGCGAAACCGACCCTGAGCTACAGTCGGGTTTGGTTAACTCACCTGCCAATACGGTGGCGTAGCGGTGTACCAGCATGGCAAAGTAATCTCTTCTCTATTTGTATTTGTACTTGTATTTGTATTTGTTATCCTTAAGCCTGTTTTGCCTGTGAACTGCACCACTCGTCAGAACAAACTGCAGTCCAACACCGATCGGCTAGAGGCATTTATAGATGATGTTCTGAGCTGGGAGCTGCGACTGCATCTTTACGAAATTTATGTTTATGTGGTTCGACAGTTCGTCAGTTTGACAGTTCGTCAGTTTGGTTTCGTGCTTGCGCTTTAGCAGATTTATGACACTGTGCTGTGTGCCATTGTTGCCAAGTTATCAGATATGTTTGTATACCCGTAAGTATACGTAATATTTCGCTTTGTTACGTATACGTTATTTAATTAAATATATTTTGCATTTCAAGTGCAATGCAATTCAATCGGATTCCGTTGCGCCCTTGAGGCATCAACAATAACGTTCGAATATTTGTATTTTTTTTTATACCAAAATGACAAAAATATTTAAATTTGTGTCCGATTACATGAGCGCTTTATGTGTTTTTGTTATTTTTGACCTTTCCTGGTCTGCCGGCTAGCGGTTAGAACTACAGACCTGACAATCGAATTTGTGTTGAGCTTTTCGATTATCCAAGTTGAGTTATTTAATGTTTAGGCAATGCTTGCTGATTTATTGTAAATGGCTATTTTACTATGGTTTGATGGATAATCTTTTTATGAGCATTCATTATGCGTAAACCTTTTTTGTTTCTATTGTATACTAAGCAAATCTCAACCTTTTTGGACTGTATATATTTATCTAAAATATCTAAGCTAAGAATTTTCAAATTATTTTCTGACTTTTTGAAGATATGAAACACATTAAGAGAAGAATATTCCTCAATTTTAAATAAATTTGGTTGATGATTACACGACTTATTTATAAAAGTGTTTTTAGTGTATTCGATTTCATACTTATTCACTTCATGTCCTCATCTTGGATTATTCAATATTAAAACAAATATTGCTAATAAACTAAAGTTGAATTTAAACTGTATTGTTAATTAACAGAAAACCCCTAAATTTGTATTCTTAAAAAACATTGTGTTATTGTAAATGACTAAAGATTTTTTCTTTCTTCTCATGCGTTCTATTAGTATGAACTTTTATTCAGCACATCTGCTCAAATAATTAATAAAAGCCGTTTGTTTTTTTTTTTTTTTTTTGTTTTTTATTTATTTTTTATATGTACTTTATTAACTTTAAATAAATATTTACAAAAAAGAGCAAGACATAAAGACATACAAATGTATATGGGCATATAGTTTGTTCATGGTTAATTTTGGGGTTTGTCGTTCAAAATACTCGTAATTTGTAGTTACAACTAAAAGAAACTAATTTAATACAACTCGTAAAATGTCTAGAGTAGTTTGATAAACGAGTATTATTCAAGTATTTATCGAGTATTTTGTTTTCGAACTTTTTCATATTTACAAACTAAATGCGAAAATTGCATTAACAAGAAGAAGCAAACTCCAAAAATTGGGTATACAAAATATAATTAAATCATTTTAGCTAAAATGCTCGATTTCGAGTGGTGTAAGGGCAAGGGACGAAGAGTGGGAAGGACTTGAAGGAGGCAGTGAGGAAGGGAGTGGGGAGGGAGTAATAGAGTTGACTAAAAGTTAAGCATTTACTCGCACACACTTTCGCAGCGCCTGGCAAAACTCGTTGCCACAATAGGAATCGGCAACCGTCTATCGCCTGCTGCTAAACTTCGATGCCAGCGAATATAATGACTTGAGTAGCTCCAGCGCACGACGATCCGAATTCATCTCCGGCTGCTGTTGCAGCTGTGCTGGCGTCGCTGCTGGCGTTGTCGCCGCCAAGTCCGCATCGTCCACATCCTCGACATGTATCTCGAATTTCGTTGTCTCCTCATAACTGCCCGGCGCCGTTGTGCTGGTGGTGATGGCAGACAGCGGCAGCTCCGTGGTCGTATAGCCCACCGGTGGCGTCGTTGTGCTCGTGTAGTAATCCGCATTGCCATTGCGTCGGAATGTGGTCACCGGCACACGTGTCGTTGTCGTTGCCAGTCGTTGCTTCTGCCTGGCGGGCAACTTGCTGTCGATGTCGATCAGCGCATTTAGCAGATGCTTGCGTGAGCGTTCTAGCGCTTTGCCATTGTGATCATCGCAGGTTTGAATGAGCAGGAGCAGCAGACTCAACACCTGTCGATCATGCTCCGCCTTGGCCATCACATTGCGCAGATGCAGCGCCTCCTGCTCGTTGAGGCCGCCAAATAGCTTGTTGGCAATACGCTGCAGTCCGCTGCTGGAGGGTAGAGCATCGCGTGGAATGTCATAGCTACGGAATATATCATCCCATTCATAGCGCGCTGGTGACGAAGTTGTCGATTTGGGCAGATAGGTGAAAGGCGATGTGGTTGTTGTTGTTGTGCGCTGCTCCTTCATCAATGCATCATTTATAGTCAGTGGATCGAGGAAATCTGTTTGCGATTTCAGCGACCAAGGATGCTCAGTGGGCTTGTGTGTTGTGATGAGTTTTTGGGGACGCGCCTCCTGCAGCAGATTATTGCGTGACTTGACGAAAGATTGCGTTTCCTGCTGCTGCAGAAACTGATCGCCCTCGCCGGAGTCGGCACTGGGCGGCGACAGCTCCGCAGATAGTTCTAACTCAGAATCCTGTGCACGGCTCGTGCTCAGCTCATACAGTTCCGTGGTGGTGGAGTAATCCGGTGCGGGTGTTGAATCAAATTTATGATTGATTTCCACAGCAATGCTTTGAGGAGTCGTTGCTCCCGGTGCTGGCTTTGTGGGTAAATAATACTTGGCGGTGCCATCACTAAACAGCGAAGAATCCGTTGTGGTCACTACCTTAAAATTGGGAGGCTCTGTGGGTCGAGCACGTGCCGCCAGCTCAGCCCGGAAGCTGTTGGGATTATCCAGATAGCTGGTCAATGCATTCGAAAAGATTTGGGCAATCTTGCGCGACTCGGGCTTCTCAGCCAAGACTCCTATTGTGGAGCCCGTGCTTCCAATCTGTGGAAAGGGTTGATAATCTGTTGACTTGGTCGGCGCCTGTGTCTCATTAAGCGGAATTAATCCGGCACTAATGTTCGCCTGACCCTCAGTCTGGCCACGGCCCTTGGCTGCCTTTAAGCCAAAGAGATTGCTGTACTTCTGCACCGTCTTGGCGCTGAGTAGACTCTGTTTGATGTCATCCGCCTGCTCACTGATGCTGGGTGGCGTCTCGGAGGTGGTCAGTGTCGCTGCCGCATCGGAGGGCTTGGCCGTGGGTAAAAGGGGTGGTGCCTTTACTGATAGCTTTGTGTGAACGCCCGACTTATCTGATTTAATGAGTGAGTTGCCAGATTCATTGGTCTCCTGGGCAAAGTATTTGGCCAGCGAAACAAGTGCATCTGGCCCAGATGACGGTGGTATCTCAAGTCCAGCACGTACATTTGTCGTTGATTGTTCATTCAGTTCCACATCCTCAAACTTATCCTTGAGCAAATTAACAGTCTTCAGCATATCCTGCACATTGCGATAAACGGAGTCCTCCTGAACGGGATTGGGCGCAAACAGCAGTAAATCTTCACCAGCTGAAGCTGCACTCGATCTGGGCACAGCAGCACCAATTTTCGGCAGATAGGTGGGTCCACTGCTGGTCGCCGTAGGCGCTGGCGTTGTAGGCAAATAATCGCGACTTTCACTCAACTTCTTGGATGGCTTCAGCTCTCCTGAACTGGCAATGTCATAATGATGTCGCATCCCTATTATTAGGGGTCTGTAAGTGCTCTCCAGCTCCCGATTGGTGCTAACTGTCGGCTTCCCAATCTTGGGCGCCACCGAGGATTCGAGAAACAGACCCGAAATCGCAGGACTGCCAAAACGATTCGGATTGGGAGTGGTTGCAGCATGGCCGCCTTTAATATAGTTTAGTTTGCCATCGGTGGATTTGGATTTGGATACGCTGGGCACCGTGGGTGTGTAGAACGGCGTAGTTTTGCTGGGCTCCAAACGGCGTGCTGTGGAATAACTGCTGGGTACGTAATAAGGCGTTGTGCTCTGCACGGAGCGTGTGGAGTGTGCCTCGAAGAACTCGGGCTTGTCCTTGTGCTTATCCTTGCTGTGCTCCTTGCTATGTGGCTGTTCCTCGCTGTCCAGCTCCTTGTAGCGCTGCTGTCCACGATGACCATTGCGTGCCCGTTCCCTGGACTCACCACGCAGCTGAGTGCTGCGATCCTGCAAGTTGGAGCTGCTGCGACTACGTGCTGGCTTCAATATGCTCAAATCATCATTGCTGTTGGGATTGGCGTTGACATTGTTACCGTTGCCGTTATTGTTATTATTGCTGATGTTGCTAGAGCGTCGCTTGCCCGCACCGCTAACAAATGATGAACTCTCCGCCGTAATCTGCGTTTCGTGCTCGTGATCATTACTATTGTTATCAATACTGGGCAGCACCTTGCGTTGCTTCTCTCCAGACACATCATCGAAGTCAACGCTCTCCAGCGATGCATGCAGCTCCTCCGTGGAATCGATGCGTCTCTCGGACTTGTTGCTCGTGGCCCGTGAACCCACACGCGCCTGACCAACAACGGGCTTAACCTTGGGCTTGATATTCAGACCACCGCCGACAATGTTGAAGCCTTGCACGGGCACCGATGGACGCACCCGATGAACACGTTGTTTGTTCAGGATCTCAGCGCTCTCGGCGTAGTACCCTGAGGAGCCCAGGCAGTTGACCTTGAACCACCAGTCGCAGGTGAGCTCACTCTGCTGGAATATGGTGCCATTGGGGCAGAGGAACGAGATCTTGCGACCCTCCTCGCATATATGAAATACCTGCGAAAATATAATAAATATTATTTTATTAATTAGATATACTCATTTTGATATAAATGAATCTGTCACCTACCTGACAATCCGTTTCCATGTCTGCAAAGTAGCCATTGCCATAGGAGCGACAGCTGAATGTGGTTTTTGGAATGCGTGGGTAGATGGGGAAGTCAATGCCCGGACGGCCGACTACGCCCTGGTATACCTCATAGTCCACATCCTCGTCAGAGGCGCGCTTCTTCAGATGATGCTTGTGGTCGTTGCAATTCGTGTGCGCCTCGTAGCGTTCTTCCTCGAACTGGGTGGCGCCCGTTTGTTTGGCCAGAACACGTGCCGAAGTTCGCTAAAGGATGGGTTAATTATGAGTAACAACAACAGATTCAAGATTATGGCGCTCCTACCTTGGTTTCTGCACTGGTTTGGCTCACATATGCCAGCAAGAGAAGCGCTGCGGAAAGAATTACAAGAGTATATATTATAATCATTATAAGAATATAATTTGAAAGCTGAAATTTATTGATTCGCTATTTGAAAATTCCACTAAAATATAAATTCTTATTATAGTGCGGAAAAAGTATAACTTCCAAATCCATCATAACAAATGCGTAGGGTGCATATTTTTTATGAGTTTATAAAATCGTGTTATTTAGTAGCAGCTAATTTCATGAAATTGCATAGCTCATAAGTGAGGAACAATTTTCTTAATGCATTTATTTTATCTATTTGTCAAGATTAAACCAACGTCCATGAGTCATTTTAAAATGCTTGGTGCTCATCAAATAACACAAATTCCCCATTTAACTCATTAATAATCTTGCTTATGCTTTGGAACTTATGATAAATTAGCTTTGGTATTAGAAAATATTAACTTCCCGAGTGCTGGACTGAACAGACCTTGATTTTTATATATCCATTGCCGAATTACGCAAAACTGTGACTGTCAATGTGACTGTCACTATAACTGTGATTGTGATTGTGATTGTGAAGCGAGTTACTGACCTCAGGCCGCCGAACGCAATAATTAAATTTTCAAACCATAAAAACAATTATATTAATGAGGTAAATAAGAAGAAGAGAGAAGTTGCTGATGAACTACAATTTAACTAGCGGCTGGGTGGAAGACGACACCACAAGAAAACCAAAAAAAAATCGTAACCGCAAGATTCAAGGTTCAATAGCTGCATAATCGTTGTGATTATATGAATCATTGTTCAATTGTCCATGAATCAGTAACTGAAGATGCTATCGAGGGTGTTGCTGCCTCACATAATTAAACAATTGCCCATAATTTGTGCACGTTGATTGAAACGCCCCAAAAAAAAAAAAAAAATGATAAAATAAATAAAAACAAAAAAGCGAATCGCATGGCCAGCCATTAAGTATACGCCAGGTGGCCAAACAACGCCGAAGCGCATCAAAAGTTCATGCGTCAAATGGGGGTCTAGACACACTTGTAAATTACACAAATATTTGCATTGTTCAATAGTTAAATTTTATGGTGGTGTTTATTGTTGATTTGAGACGCTTAATTAAGCAGCAATATCTTTGTCTTCCATTTGACATTTGGGTCTGGGTCAGCGGCTAATGATTGTTTGAATTTGGCATTTCCTATAGACATTTCCCAGGCATTCACCTGGTCATAGCCTCATTAATTAACCAAAAGTTGAAGACAAAACTCATGTCTTTAACTCGGCTCATCACGTTTTTCTGTCGCATGCCACGCACGACAAACCTGTCTCAAAACAAAGACACTTTTGAACGCACTCCGCTCTTTTTATGGGCCACATTTGAATTTTTCCATTTTTCTTTAGCAGATTCACTGCCTACGCATGCGCGAATGTGTTGTGCATCATGCGTCACTATCAGCCTGGCTTAAATGTGCCGTTAGCGTTAATAGATTGTGGGAATTTTACTTGATGCGTTGACAAGGTCAAGGATTGTTGCGAAATGTAGGCGGCGCCTCTTATATTTATTTACATGTTTTACCATCAAAACTTTGATAATAACTGAATGGAGCAGTAAATTATTCGATATTTGCATTCTTCTTAATTTAAATAAATTCATAAATAAATTTCGTTGACAACTACTCAAGGAGATCAAAAACCACAGCTGACTTTCATTTTATTAGTGGGACAGCACTGATAAACTGTTAAACCATAAATTAACACCACATGCACAAAATAATACTTAAGCTGATATTCATCTGAATAAAGTGTCGAAGAGCCTGTACATTATATGTTTGTGTGTCATTAATTTTAAACCGTAAAATATTAATGATTCACTTACCACAGCACAGTAAATGTAGTTGCGCACGCTTCATTTTGTTCACTGAGTCGCCTAAAAATAAACCAAGCAACAAAGATTAATATTTCTTTGAAAACGCGTTAGCAAAATTATGAATATTTATTTCCACAGCTCGTGGGATGACCGAAAAAAAATAGACAAATAAAATCACACGCGAAGTGGCATATTAGATAATGGAAATTATACGGGCTCCCCAAAAAAATAACAAAGACAAAAACAAAACCAAAAACAAATAATTGTGCGAGTGTACGCGCAGCATGGACAAAAAGTCACTGGAGTTTGATTACATAACGAACACACCCACCATAGACAAGATATAGATAGGTAGAAGATGATTACCTTAGATGCACACAGAGATACATAGGTAGAGTATATAACAAGCTGCGCTACAGGGCCTAAATCTGTAAAATCTTCTGTAAATGACAAGAATTGTGGGAGGCGACAACTTAATTAGTCAATACGTCACTTATATAGATTTGGCTTAGCTAGCTGGAAACTATGGCGCCACAGGGCGTATGTGTGATCAAATATAATAGAGCCTGGGGGCGCAGAGCTGCAGCAAATAAGAAAAGCTGTGGCACAGCTGTGCCATGCGCACAGTAAGTCAGTTACTAAGTTAGTCAGTCAGTCAAACGTTACAGACATTCACTTTGGCATCGTTGTCACTTCCGTCAGCTCAATTATGCAGCTGTTGTTGTTGTTGTTGTTGTTGTTTTTGTTGTTGTTGTTGCTGACGCTGCTGCTGTTGTTGTTTGCTGCGTACTTTGCATAATTTCATTTAATTGTTTTTAATTTGCACAACTTCAAACAACAATATCAAGTGGAGGAGCCACAGCAAGCAACCGGCTTACCCAGTGACACTCTTTGAATTTAATTAAATAATTTTCAATGGTTTCGCTAATTTCATAGCTACATCAATTTTGTATCTAGACCTTTCAAGTTTTTGCACTAAAACACTCTTTAGTTTTCAATAACAATGCGAAATTTAACAACAAAGTATCGAAATACATTTTATGTGCACATAAATTTCAGTTAAACATTCAATGCAAGCATATTGGGTAGAAAAGAGGGGATTGTGCAGTGGGTACCGCTTTTGCGAAAGCGTTTTTTATTCATTGTCTGGTGAATTCTGCACTGGCTGCTGAAATTGTTGTTTGTATTTAAATTAGTTGCTTGCCTTGGGTTTGGGTTTGGATTCTTATTTGTCTTCGTCGTTCTCACAACTAAATTTAATTTTTTCTTCATTTCATCAAATGCACAAATTACATAATCAAAGTAAACAAACAACTGGCATTAGAATTTAATAAAAACGTTTTCAATTCTCAAATAAATAACTGTCCAACTTATTTAGTTAAAGTTCAAGTGTTCGTTGCATTCTTTTATAATATATCTTCTTTGATTGCTTCGATTCGATTTTGGCCAAATGCACGTTTTTCAATTTGCAATTACTCGAAAAGAGTTTGTCATTGCCAAGGTTTTGTTTAACGGCATCAGTATATTGAAATAAACCTTAATTTATTTCGCTATTTTTTCTTTATTAAATAATTTTTTGTATATTTGATGATATTTTTTTTAATTCCGCAATTGCAAATTTTGAAGAAAAAAAACGATTGAAATGCATATATTTTAAAAAGCTTACATATTTTTCTACATATAAAAAGATTATTTCGAATTGATATTTATACGATATCCAATCTTAACACTTTAGAGCAGCAGCATTATGCCAATTTTAAAGTCATTCGTTAAGATACATACATATTTTAATTACTTGCACTTGCCAGTAAAATGTTTACACAATTCGAATGCGCTGGCAAAACAAGAAATTCAATTCAATCATCTTCAACGAAGACACCACAAATGATAAATGGCTGGTGACAAGGCATTCACAGTCGAACGAAAGTGCAAAGAAACGAAAGAGAAACAACTAAAAAGTAAAATATCAAAAGACTACAATGGCAAATAAGGAAGTTGCAACTGCTGAGATGCTGCTGCTGCTGTTGCTGCTGACTCATTATCAGTTGCCACAAACAACAACACCAACAACTGCAGCAAGAGCGTGAAGAAAAAAATGTCAACATGGGCCAGAGCAACAGGTGCTTGCAGCCTTGGCTTGGATCTTGCATTTAGTAGCTAGCCGAGGGCCGTGGCAATACAAAAATTTGTTCCGGCTTGCAGCACACACATACAAGCTAACACACACATACGCACACACACACAGGCAGATAAATAGCTGGCTAGTGATGTCCAGGACGCAATGCGGGTGTTCGTTGCATGCATTGTCCAATCTGGGTGTACAGACACCGCTGCCAAATGTCTGTTAAATCGTTTTAACCTTTTTGTCAAGTTGCCGCTTAACCTTTACGGTTGCTGCGCTGACATGAAGGAAGCATTCGAATTTTTCTCTTTTTATGTTGTCTGGCCAAGTGTTGAAACTGCAACAACAACAACAAAAGCCATTGAAAGTTAAACTGAAACTGTGGCATACCTATGCATAGTCAAAATATTTGGCTTGCCTTTTGTCTTTGCCTATCTGTGCAACGTGTCGTATACATGTTATTTGTAGTTTTGATTTATTTGTTTGGCCATTTTATCTCGTGCGCCGCGCCACAAGTTGCTCGCTCGAGCGAACCTTTTGACAGCATCTTTGTGTGGCCCTCTCGACTGCTAACCAAGCAAAACAAGACAACGACGACTAACTGCAGAGTACTGAAAATTGGATACCCTTGCAATTTAATTGCTCTTAACATGCATATATATATATATATACATGACAAATTTTTTTATGTGCATAAAACAGACTTATATTCAAAATACTTGAAGTCCACAATTAAAACATTTTTCTAAAATTAAGATATATTTATATAGATTTTCATCCTGATCTGCATAATTAGAAGACTCAGAAATCTCTTCATCAGATTGTGGCAAATTATTTGCCTATATTATATGTGGCTTAGACAGAGTATAAAAATAGATATTTAGTTTTTATTTATATTTCGTCTTGTTTTATTTTTTGTAAGCTTTGTTCATATGCCAAGCAAATTTCACCTTTATCGAAAGGCATGCGAAATGTGCACCTACTGCATTCACTGCATTATGAAACGGCAGCCAGAGGCGCGTACAGGGAACTGCTGACAATTCCTGTTGTGTAAATTGCATAAAATCACCGCTTCTTCAATATAATCACCAAAAAAAAGAGAAGAAAGATAATGTTAAAACTTGATGTGGGAGCGTCGAGTTGCAGATGGTAATTTTTCGGCTAACGATGTGAGTGGTTATCTTGCCTATAAAATGTGAAAACAGCTGTGGGCTCAATAATTCGCAAATAAATTTCAAGCTCCGTTGCAGTTTAGCAAGTTCAAGTTCGTGTCTTAAGTCTTTTGTTTTAACACTTTCAAATACGCAACCTTATGCTAATTTTTTCAATTAATTATCAATCGCAACATTTTGTTGTTACTATATCTACTGTTAAAAAACAATGCAAATTAAAATGTTAAACATAAACATAGTTTTTTTTCTCAATTTTTCTACCTGCGCTTTAAATTAATTGTGTGAAAAGGTTATTATATTATAAATGCATAACGTGCGCCAACAACTCAACTTTAGTTACGTTTCCCAGGCAGCACAAACCACATTTTTTATTTGAAATACACAAAACCATTGTATTTATTTTGTTAATTTTGCTTTTGGAGAGGAGTTTTCAAATGATGCGTTGGTTTTCGTTTTAAAAAAGAGTTTAGAGCAGTGCAATTAAAAGTTTATTTCATATCGGCAACATTTGTAAAATGGAACCCATGAACAATTGTGGCTTACTTTTTGATATTTGTTATCTTCTACCTCATCGTTAAGCTCATAAATCGTTTAGCTGAAGTCAGTTTAAATATTTGCACAATTTATAATTATAATAACGTTGAAAATTTTAACGGAAGATGTTGCAACGGCTGTGAATCGGGTTAAATTGTGGTTGTTGTTTTTTTTAATAATGGCATAATGCCAAATACGGTAAACCAAACGCAGAGATAACGAATAAATGATTAGGCCAACAACAACATCAACAATTATATATGTCATCTGTGCCTTAGCTGATGCTAAACATGCAATTCATGATAATTTATATGCACCTTTCTAAAATAAAAATAAAAATAAAAATAAACGTCCGTAACACTGTTCGAAAAGTTAAATTACTGTCTGATCTTAGACGCGGTTTCGTTTGGAATATTTTGCAATGCAAATTTTAAAAATTATAAAATAAATTACTTGGTATTATTTGAAAATTATAAAATTGCATAAGACACTTTATAAAGAATTTTTTAAAATTTTATAAATATTACCAAAAACAACAAATAAATATTGATTTTTAGTTTATACGTACTTATAATTGTAAGGAACTTGAATGCTTACAAAGCAACAACCCATAAAGTCAGGTGTGAATACGTGTAGCAAAAACCCATGTAAATTTTGCAATAACAAAACTGAAACTTTTTTAGTATGCTGAGATGTAGCTAAAGGCCGTCAGATAGGTAGCTAGACATACAAATGGACAGGTGGACGGAGCCAGACGATGTAGACGATGCGGTCGCTGATGCGTTGACCTACGTGCCACAGATTCAGATGCTCAGACAGGCGCTCAGATGCTCAACTGAAGTAACTGTGGTGGCTATTATTGTTTTTGCTGTTCTTCTTCTGCTGCTGCTGCTGCTGATGCTGTTGGTGCTGGTGCTGGTGCTGATGGTGATGGTGTTGTTTGGCTTTGGGGCAACTTCACAGTTTTTGGACATTAATGTTTGCAGCCAAAAAATTTTACCAAAAAAATGCCTTAAGGGAGGCGGTGGCTGCGATTGCATTTCATAGCCGCCAGAGTTCGACGTGCTAATAGATTTTGAGGTCATATGCAATTGTTTTTTGGGCCTTTTTACAGCCATCGGCATTTTTTTTAAGCATATTCTACATTTGATACGATTTTGCTATGTTTTTGTGTTTTTTCTGCTTTGCTTCTTTTTTTTTGCACAAGAATTCTTGTGCATTTCCGCAGAGCA